TCAGTACGCGTAATGGAAAGTGTTTTAAACATAAATACATACATGTTTAGAGTTTAAACGCAATTCTAAACACTTAGATTCGCGTTTAGAAGCTAAACACTTCAATGTTTTAAACAAGGATCTGCAAGAAAACCAAAATTGTAACAGGTGTGTCCGTTTCAAGTTTTATTTACTTCTAAACATCATATTAAAATGATAAAAAAAGGCCTAACACACAGTAAAGTGTTCTCACGGAATCATTGTCCAGTGGAATTCCTTTTACTTGTGAATGGTTTCCATTGTTTGTCACAAAGTCTTTTAGATGTTTTGACATATGAAACTATCTGGCATCTGAAGAGTTAGTAACATCCAAGTTGTTGAATTGTCTGCATTTTGTACCAGTAGCACAATACAAAGCAAATATATATGTAAAAGACTCCAGCTATGGTGTGCTTCTTGCAGTGTGATGCAATACGGATCACTATTTCAAATCCGTCGTGATGTAAACAAAGCAGCATGTTATCTGGATAATCTTGAAGGTATTTTCTACGGCAGTATAATTCACATCCATATATTATCAGAAATGAATTTTGTTCTTTCTCTCGGCTATCCAATTAACCTGTAAGAAAGGACGTACGTTGCATAAGTAACAGTATGTGCTCCTCACTGAACATGCTGAAGTTTTACATCAATTACTAAGCATATAAAAAATGTTTAAATAAATATTATTGCAACTATAGATTCAATATTTACTCTCATTAATGAATACATGATATGACACCGAAAGACATCCTTGATATAAAGTGCAATGTTATTTACTTTGCTCATCATGTTTATTTTATATAAAAACAAAAGCATACATACCCTATAGCAATAACAATGAGCCTTTCACATGTTTTTCACTATTTCTGCGGTGGTTGGCACTCAAATTCTCATCAGCTTTCTTGAAAACATCGTTTACTGTTTTGTTGTGATTTTCTTTGTTTCGACAACCGCACTTATTAACGTTCAAATGTGTATCATTTCCGGGAAGATAAATCTGCACTTGACCGAATTTAAAACAAAAAAACATGTTCAATATCTAAACGCGTATAGATTTTAAATACATTTAGATATCAGTGTTTTGTTTTTAAACACAATATCAAACACGTTTAGATCTAAACACGTAATGGAAGTGTTTATTTACTAAGCACATTTTTTACAGTGTATACATGAGAAACAAGAAACTACACGCATGTGGCCTAAAGTCAGCGACCGGAACGGATATCGATAAGCTTTTTCTAAAGACTGAAACCAATATCGGCCCTATAGGTCATCGCATATATTTACCTAGAAGTGATCCTTTCTCCACAAGAAAATACTGTGAAATCACTAATTTTCGTGGGGTTTAATTTTCGTTGTTTTCGAGGTACAAAGAGACCCACGAATTCATGATCACCACAAAATGTAAAATTCCATGTACATAACTACTCGACACTTCTCCAACCACGAAATTCAATCCCCACAAACCAATACTTTTTTCTCAAACCTCGAATATTTGACCCCACGAAAATATGTGATTTTACAGTGATGTATTAATGTGTGTATTCTCATTAGTGATAAAAACTAGGGATATTATAATTCTTCCATAAGATTTGATTATTTATCATGACTTACTCTGCATGAATAGTAACTTTACTGGATAAGTTAAGATAAGTTTTGTAAATGGTAAAATGATTTAATTGCTGGTGTGATCTGTCGACAGGGGATGCTTACTCCTCCTTGGAACTTGGTTCCATCTCTATTTTCAGCGTTTGGCTCTGATCAAAATGTGCATTATTTCATTGAATTTTGAGTCTGATCTCTGTTCGGTATCTTCACATTTCATTGCAAAATCAGAGAGAATGATATTCTTAAACAAAAGTATCACTAAACTGCATTGGATGAATTTTTCTTCTCTTCAAACAAGTAACTATTAAATGAATATGAATAAACAGAAAATATTTTAATGAGGCAAACTTTAAAAAATTGTTTGGTTGCCCGACCGACTAGCTAAAAATGGCCCGACTCGAATTTTTTTTTTTTGCATTCCGGATAATAGATTTTGAAATTTCAGCATTAATGTTGAAATTTTTTGGAAAAAAAATTTCACCTACCTACCGACCCAATTATTTTTATCTTGAGTCGGGAGAGGGCAAACAAACATTATTTTAAGTTGGCCTGACTTCTTTCTCGGATATCTTCTCTACACCTTCATTCAACTTTTGTTAACTAGTATTGAACAAAGCATCCTCATGCAGTTTGGATTTTTCTTACACATCGATGGGAGAGATGACCAAGATATGCGGTCAAAAGTTATACATAGAAATATGAAGAAAATATTAAGAATTACTTGCAGCATGGTTACATCTGGTTCTTTTGCAAAGTCACGTGATTATAGAATTTACAGGCGCGGACCTTGGATTTTGCGTTAGAGGGGGCGCCATTAGATTCCGAGGGGATTTGATACCATCTAGGTCCTTAACGATCAAGGACAGCGAAGCCCCCGTAAGCTCAAGAGAATAGGCAATTAAAAAAAATATTTCGACACAAAATAATTGTTATTTACCTGTTTCATATCGATGAATGCCATTGGAAATTATCTTAAATATTTTTGGGTTGTTTTAGAGGGGGCGCGCGCCTGGAGCGCTCCCGCCTGAATCCGCGCCTGATATAAATACATGTAGTAGGGTCATGCGTTAGCACGGCACTGTAAGCTCGCTCCTGGGGATTAAAGAGATATTAGTATTATAATGGCTAATATTGAAGTAATGGGGTGTAAGAAATTTGGGCTATACAGTTGTATTTTATTATTATATATGAATGCTTACCTGCATAATTGAATAAAGCACTAGAGAGCAGCGTTCCTATATAATATGTTGTATTCATATTTGAAGTCTATGTCCACACTTTGTATTTCATACAAATATACATCGACAATTGTTACAAACTTTTCAATTACAGAAACTCTACAGCGCCTAGATATCGAACTTTTGATACATAATCCTCCAACATGTTCATGTTCACCCTACAACTATAGTCCTGCTGGACACATCATTACTGGTGACGTCAATATAGTTAATAATGAGGACCTTAAATCACTTATTTTAAAAGGGCCAAAATTTACGGAACTCCAATCTTTCAACCGGCATCATAGTGTCACAAATATTATACATTCTGTGGAAAATTACGCCAGACGATGGGCCAAATATGAAAAAGAAGACCTTGACACTTTGTCAGAATGGATTAAAAGTATCAGATGGATGTTGAAATCTCGCATTAAGCAATTGAGGAGGGGGGGGGCAATATGAAAACCATCTATCCTTCTGTCTTCCACAATGCAGAAATGAAACAAGAATTGGATAGATTACACAATCAGTATGTACTGGTCCCAGCTAACAAAGCAGGTAACAACATTGTCTTTGTTTGTAAGACTCATTATTTCAACTGTAGTTTTAGAGGAACTAGGATTTAATTTTGCAAGTAATAATCCAACTTAAAATATATCCATAGCCCTTTTTAAGGAGGAAATTCTTCAAAATTCTATGTCAGTTTTAAATATTTTAAATATTCATAACAATCAAAATGAATTTGTATTACCATACCTATACTGGATTCCAAAACTATGAAAATCCTTACAAACAATTTGAAACAAAGATACATAGTGGGTTCCAACAAGCTCTTTTCTTTACTCCTCACTAACATATTTACAGCAATGAAGGAGAAAAATCAGAAGTACTGTACAACAATATATTCGAGAAGTGGTGTAAATCAGATGTGGATACTAAAAATTCCAAGGAACTTTTAGAAAATTTGAAATTACAAAATTTTATCAAAATCAATAACATTAAAACGTCACTTCGACTTTTTAACATTTTATACAACCATTCGAGGCTTTTTGACATCATAGACAGATGCTTTTTCAGTAAAAATGGAACATGTAAATATACTTACCTTGTCATTGGTCATTTGCAAAATTATTTGTTAGAAACATTTCGATTGTACACACAGGTACTCTAAAGTTGATATTTAAAAGATGCTTGAGCTTCTGATTGACAATATCTAATTATCTATGTAGGTAGAATTAAAACCACATACGAAATTAGACCGTCTTTATTGGGTAGGGAACAACATGAATAATTCTACTATCGTTTATTTTATATATATATTCAAGCAAATTTCTTCTTATCTGAATCTAAATGGTGGTTTCTCCTAGTTTTTATTTCATGTTCTGTAGGATATATCATTTCTATGCCAAATGTTAGATCCTGTATGAAGATTCTTGTCAATATATCTCGTCAAGATACTGACAAACAGTATATGACACATAGCAGGTCTGTAAATTTTGATACAGAATAAAGGTGATGTTACTACATTGTTTTTTGCATAACCCAGAACCCAATTTTCAAACAAACTTTTATTGAATTTTGATCGTTTGTTTATTGTTTAACGTCCCTCTCGGGAATTTTTCACTCATATGGAAACGCCACCACTTGGCGGTGGGAGGGGGGCTGCAAATTTAGACCTATAGTCGGCACTTAGGGCCATTGAGTAGTAAGGGATCTTTATCGTGCCAGCACCTACTCCGACACGGGACCTCGATTTATACGGTCTCATCCAAAGAACCGGTCTCCACATCCCGCAGTGGGATTTGAACCCGCGATATAAGGATCAACTACTTGTATTGCAACTCTACAGCAAATGCTCTAACCACTGTGCCACGCCGTGCGGTGCGGCAACTTTGATTAAGATCATTAAGTTTAGATAATGAAGTTTTTATTCTGTATTGTGACATTAAACAAATGTATAAAAGTACAAATAGTGTTTCAATAATGTGCACCTACATTCCAGCTTATTCACTCCAGTCCACTTTCAGCATCTTTTGCTCCTATCTCGAATTGTTCAGAACATTCATGTTTCACTTTTAAACACTGTGGATCAACTAGCATACGATGACATTAAGGAATGTAACTGTCACAATGGATATATTATCAGAAAGGTTATCCTGTGTATATTTCATTGCCAGTACTTAAATGGTTTGTAGATTATTTGAGGAGTATATGCAAATGCTGTAACTGGTTGCTCAAACCTGAAAAAAATTGATAAACTGTTTCGAAGTCTTAATAATTTTTTTAAATAGCTAGATATTGAAAAAAATGTTTTTTTCTTTTAATGAAAGAAAGACTAACTTAGTTTTCTTTTCATTCACCATCTCCCTGCTGCCCTTTTCCTCTTCTTGCTTCTTGCGAAGATAGAACAGGCTGATGATGACCGTTACTAGAATAAAAACGACAGCCGCCGAGACACCGAGCCCAATGCTTAATATCATGCCGTTATTATCTGGCAAATACATAGATCTAGATTAAATTCAATATAATATCATGTGCACCACAAAGGCACATAATACGCCCGAAAGGATAATAGGTTATTACAAATTACTTTACAGCAATGTTACACCATGCCTGCGGATACATCAATGACAAGGCGTAATGATTCTAGGTCTTACATTGTGTAAGAAATTGGACACGATTTGATAAAATATCCAAAACGCAGACACGGTCAATGACCAACTTTTGGGTCGAGGAGCCGTTTCCCCCCGAAAATGTTGATTCTAGGTCTCATCTGTTTCATATTTGGATATTTTACTAGAAAAAGACGTTAATGGTAATCTAACAACAAAGCTATATGTTAAGCGTAATGACTTTAATTTTTCAATCGTCAATTCACTTACTTATGCAGCAATATACCCTAATCACCTGCATATGGGATGTATATCTCTCAGTCGATTCGATACGCAAGAGCATGCTCTACGTATGTACAATTTCTACAACGAGGTAAGTTATTGACAAACAAGTTGATGAAACAAGAATATCAACAGTTTCGTTTAAAGTCATTATTTCGTAAGTTCTATGGTCGATACAATGACCTTGTCAGTAATTACAATCTATCATTAAGTCATATGTTGACTGATGCTTTTCATACTAATTGTTAGGCCATTATTTACACACTGAATTGTCGACGAATTTTCCCGTTATTTCACGATCATGACAAGGAGCAGACGGCGGGTGTGACCGGTCGGCAGAAGATGCTCACTCCTCCATGGCACCTGATCCAATCTCTGATGTTTTTGGAGGTTCGTGCTCTGCTCCCGATTTGTAGTGTTTTAATGGACTTTGAGCTTGAATACCGTTCGTTATCTCCATATTTCATTGTGCAAGATATGGTCCAGATACCATTTGATTATGCGCAGGCATAAAATGCAAAACGAGGTCACAGCAAGCTTCTGTTGGCTTGAAACACATCTCTCACCCAAGATACATAAGCTCAGAAGGTTTGACGATCCCAAGCGTCTTTATGGTGAAATATAAACACAAACAAAAAACTTACAGACAGACAGGTATACCATACCATAATAAGATGCGAAAAAAAATTATAAATTCATATCATATGAAATTCAACTTGAATAGTTATAATTTATCTCATTAAACAACATGGAAATGGTCATCATATTTATTTTTTAATCAAACTGTATCAACAATTTCAGGAGTTCTGTGTATATTTGAATTATGTCAGACTCCCTTTCACAACATAAGTCATTTTACTTACCTGGTCTAACGTTGTTTCTGGAAGATAAGAAAAAAATGATTTCAAACGTTCATCATATTTTTTTTCAACTGTCGACCTATTATTTTATTTATATTCTATACATTGAATTTAAACAATATAGCATCATAACACCTATGTACTTACACACACATCCCAAGATCTTCATTGCAGTACTCCCTTATAGAACATGTCACATATAACTGAGCTATTTCACATGCACGAGTTTGTCGCGTAAACGTCACTAGGAAAAAATCATTAAAAGGTTTTATATTGCCACTACTTCTTTCTGTGTCACTTAATTAGAGTGAAAGAACGTCTAATTTTTTAATTATTGTATGCTTTTATACTTTCAACATATACATCTATGTGAATCAAAGTGTCCATTTTAAAAATATATAAGAGATTTTCGTAATTCAAACTCCAAGAAGATACTAGTACATGTAAATTTTTTATGTATCGTTAGAACGTCAAGTCTACGACAAACAGCAAAATAAGTGCATAACTCTGGAGCAGGTTTAACAGTTTTCATTTACAAAATGTGAACATACCATTCTCTGTTCTGTCGTTTGTCATCAGGGTGACGTTAGAAAATGATGTGGTTGACCCTCCGATATTTATAGAGTTGCCCCCACTGGACAGGTTGGACAGGGTTTTGGAGAGTGCAGCTGTACTAGCAGTTTTATTGTCCCCGTCTATCACCACATCGTGTTCCACGGAGATGTCGCTCAAAGAGCGGGTGCTTCGTTTTCTTCTGACTGTTTTGGGTCTAAATTTGATAGAAAGCCAAATAAACGAGTACACACTTAAAGAGAAAGAAAAATATTGCCATCTAATTTTACTCACACGACGATAATGTCTTTAATATGAATGCTTTTGAAGTTGTTGACTTTAGATCTGTAAAAGTTTTCTAACTGAAAAGATAAAAAAAAAAGGTTTCTGTTATATTCAAATTAACGTTAAGTAATTACACAAATTACAACCATTTGAAAGCATACTTTTTATTTTCTTAAATACATTACAAGCAGTTCAGAGTTTTTAAATTCATATGGTCGGTCACCCTCTTGTAGGAAATCATCTTTGGCTTACTTTATTAATTATTATAAAAATCAGGTTAGAATACAATTTAACGAATTGAGAGAAACAAGTTACTATGCTCAGAATACATTACACATATACTATACATGAATAAAATCAGAAAAACAAGTTCCATAACTCAAAATCGTGATCATCTGGCAAATAAACCTTTGTGTTGAAAATATATTTATTTCGTGATCATTTTTGTCTTTCAATAATAAAATTCATCTTATACTTGCCTATTAACATGTAACGCACGATATATCCTTATGTGGAAATTAAGGTTAGAAATAATATTTTGAAGAATTTTTTTCTTTTCCTTTAAAACAGTATTTCAACTATACATCGACATATAATGGACATGCTACATTAACGTGAATGAGAAAAATACGTGAAAGACAAGTGCATTTTTCTGTCTTCGCCAGAGTTATACTATTTCATAAAAAAATTCTCAAATTCAAAACTTCAGATTATATGTAAAAAAGAGAAATTAGTTTAAGTCAAAAAATTACAAATTTGATATCGCATAGACCTTAACAAAGGATTTTGCAAAACAATACGTGAGCATGAAGAAACAACGTCTACAGAATACTAGTAATATGGGCGAATTCAAAAATAATGACCCGCTAATTGAAATTTTTTGGGGAAAAAATTCATATCATTATAGCATATTTTTCTATCATAACATCATATTGTACATACATTCTGTTTTGCATTTCTGAAGTTACAATAGAAAAGACAAATGGCATAAAAAGGTTTCAAAATTTTTATTAGACCTTTATTTGAAAAAAGAAAATATTACTACATCCAAAAAGACAATTTCAAATTCATAATCAAAAGAAATTATAGTTTTTATCCTTCAAGCTTTAGTCAGAGATATGATATAGATGATTAGATCTAAACCTTGGTTGAGTTTCTTCTCGTGTATATGTGAAAGAAATTGGTTTTTGATTGTTTTTTTACATTGATTGTTTCAATTTTTTGAAAAGTTTTAAAATGAAATAAATATGATACGATAAATTCCCCCAAAGTTACTTTTTTGTCCATTAGTCATTTTTTTTTTAATCTAAGCCAAAAAAAGAATTTTGATAGTTTTCTTACAAAAAGTACTAGATTTTGAAGTGATCCTATTTTACCTTATTTTGCTGTACTCTGGACATCTAGTATGGTTTTATTTACCTTATTTTGCTGTACTCTGGACATCTAGTATGGTTTTATTTACCTTATTTTGCTGTACTCTGGACATCTAGTATGGTTTTATTTACCTTATTTTGCTGTACTTTGGACATCTAGTATGGTTTTATTTACCTTATTTTGCTGTACTCTGGACATCTAGTATGGTTTTATTTACCTTATTTTGCTGTACTCTGGACATCTAGTATGGTTTTATTTACCTTATTTTGCTGTACTCTGGACATCTAGTATGGTTTTATTTACCTTATTTTGTTGCACTCTGGACATCTAGTATGGTTTTATTTACCTTATTTTGCTGTACTCTGGACATCTAGTATGGTTTTATTTACCTTATTTTGCTGTACTCTGGACATCTAGTATGGTTTTATTTACCTTATTTTGTTGCACTCTGGACATCTAGTATGGTTTTATTTAACATTGTTTTAAAAATTATAACACACATAACCCATTCAACGTTTGTAAAGCAATTCGTCGTTTTGTTATTTTTATCATTTACGGCAAGTTTTGGATATTTTCTTGACTTCAAAATATGATTATTTGCTTATGTAATATATATTTAAAAATATATGTTTAGTGACGAAAACTATTCTGTGAATTGACTGTAAAATGTCCAAAAATATTCGTAATTTGTTGATAGACATAATGATTTCAACTAGAAATAGTATCAAACATTTTCTGCAATTTATTTTTAGTAAAGATAGTTGAAGTAAGTTCATTGATAATTATAATACAGCTTTGTTGCACTCATGACTGCATTAAAATCTAATCTAAAATCAAAACCATCGAACACAAAAATTCTTAAATTGTTCTCAATATCAAGTTGCAACGAAATTGTGCAACGAAAATGTTTATAGGCCAATACTTCATTGTAAAAACACATAGACTTATTTTAACTTGGTTGTATATCTTGATTTATTCCTTTTTATTGTCACAATACGTGAAAGACAAGTGCATTTTTCTGTCTTTGCCAGAGTTCTACTATTTCATAAAAAAAATTGTCAAATTCAAAACCTCAGATTATATGTAAAAAAGAGAGATTAGTTTAAGTCAAAAAATTACAAATTTGATATCGCATAGACCTTAACAAAGGATTTTGCAAAACAATACGTGAGCATGAAGAAACAACGTCTACAGAATACTAGTAATATGGGCGAATTCAAAAATAATGACCCGCTAATTGAAATTTTTTGGGGAAAAAATTCATATTATTATGCATATTTTTCTATCATAACATCATATTGTACATACATTCTGTTTTGCATTTCTGAAGTTACAATAGAAAAGACAAATGGCATAAAAAGGTTTCAAAATTTTTATTAGACCTTTATTTGAAAAAAGAAAATATTACTACATCCAAAAAGACAATTTCAAATTCATAATCAAAAGAAATTATAGTTTTTATCCTTCAAGCTTTAGTCAGAGATATGATATAGATGATTAGATCTAAACCTTGGTTGAGTTTCTTCTCGTGTATATGTGAAAGAAATTGGTTTTTGATTGTTTTTTTACATTGATTGTTTCAATTTTTTGAAAAGTTTTAAAATGAAATAAATATGATACGATAAATTCCCCCAAAGTTACTTTTTTGTCCATTAGTCATTTTTTTTTAATCTAAGCCAAAAAAAGAATTTTGATAGTTTTCTCACAAAAAGTACTAGATTTTGAAGTGATCCTATTTTACCTTATTTTGCTGTACTCTGGACATCTAGTATGGTTTTATTTACCTTATTTTGCTGTACTCTGGACATCTAGTATGGTTTTATTTACCTTATTTTGCTGTACTCTGGACATCTAGTATGGTTTTATTTACCTTATTTTGTTGCACTCTGGACATCTAGTATGGTTTTATTTACCTTATTTTGCTGTACTCTGGACATCTAGTATGGTTTTATTTACCTTATTTTGCTGTACTCTGGACATCTAGTATGGTTTTATTTACCTTATTTTGTTGCACTCTGGACATCTAGTATGGTTTTATTTAACATTGTTTTAAAAATTATAACACACATAACCCATTCAACGTTTGTAAAGCAATTCGTCGTTTTGTTATTTTTATTATTTACGGCAAGTTTTGGATATTTTCTTGACTTCAAAATATGATTATTTGCTTATGTAATATATATTTAAAAATATATGTTTAGTGACGAAAACTATTCTGTGAATTGACTGTAAAATGTCCAAAAATATTCGTAATTTGTTGATAGACATAATGATTTCAACTAGAAATAGTATCAAACATTTTCTGCAATTTATTTTTAGTAAAGATAGTTGAAGTAAGTTCATTGATAATTATAATACAGCTTTGTTGCACTCATGACTGCATTAAAATCTAATCTAAAATCAAAACCATCGAACACAAAAATTCTTAAATTGTTCTCAATATCAAGTTGCAACGAAATTGTGCAACGAAAATGTTTATAGGCCAATACTTCATTGTAAAAACACATAGACTTATTTTAACTTGGTTGTATATCTTGATTTATTCCTTTTTATTGTCACAATACGTGAAAGACAAGTGCATTTTTCTGTCTTTGCCAGAGTTCTACTATTTCATAAAAAAAATTGTCAAATTCAAAACCTCAGATTATATGTAAAAAAGAGAGATTAGTTTAAGTCAAAAAATTACAAATTTGATATCGCATAGACCTTAACAAAGGATTTTGCAAAACAATACGTGAGCATGAAGAAACAACGTCTACAGAATACTAGTAATATGGGCGAATTCAAAAATAATGACCCGCTAATTGAAATTTTTTGGGGAAAAAATTCATATTATTATGCATATTTTTCTATCATAACATCATATTGTACATACATTCTGTTTTGCATTTCTGAAGTTACAATAGAAAAGACAAATGGCATAAAAAGGTTTCAAAATTTTTATTAGACCTTTATTTGAAAAAAGAAAATATTACTACATCCAAAAAGACAATTTCAAATTCATAATCAAAAGAAATTATAGTTTTTATCCTTCAAGCTTTAGTCAGAGATATGATATAGATGATTAGATCTAAACCTTGGTTGAGTTTCTTCTCGTGTATATGTGAAAGAAATTGGTTTTTGATTGTTTTTTTACATTGATTGTTTCAATTTTTTGAAAAGTTTTAAAATGAAATAAATATGATACGATAAATTCCCCCAAAGTTACTTTTTTGTCCATTAGTCATTTTTTTTTAATCTAAGCCAAAAAAAGAATTTTGATAGTTTTCTCACAAAAAGTACTAGATTTTGAAGTGATCCTATTTTACCTTATTTTGCTGTACTCTGGACATCTAGTATGGTTTTATTTACCTTATTTTGCTGTACTCTGGACATCTAGTATGGTTTTATTTACCTTATTTTGCTGTACTCTGGACATCTAGTATGGTTTTATTTACCTTATTTTGTTGCACTCTGGACATCTAGTATGGTTTTATTTACCTTATTTTGCTGTACTCTGGACATCTAGTATGGTTTTATTTACCTTATTTTGCTGTACTCTGGACATCTAGTATGGTTTTATTTACCTTATTTTGTTGCACTCTGGACATCTAGTATGGTTTTATTTAACATTGTTTTAAAAATTATAACACACATAACCCATTCAACGTTTGTAAAGCAATTCGTCGTTTTGTTATTTTTATTATTTACGGCAAGTTTTGGATATTTTCTTGACTTCAAAATATGATTATTTGCTTATGTAATATATATTTAAAAATATATGTTTAGTGACGAAAACTATTCTGTGAATTGACTGTAAAATGTCCAAAAATATTCGTAATTTGTTGATAGACATAATGATTTCAACTAGAAATAGTATCAAACATTTTCTGCAATTTATTTTTAGTAAAGATAGTTGAAGTAAGTTCATTGATAATTATAATACAGCTTTGTTGCACTCATGACTGCATTAAAATCTAATCTAAAATCAAAACCATCGAACACAAAAATTCTTAAATTGTTCTCAATATCAAGTTGCAACGAAATTGTGCAATGTTTATAGGCCAATACTTCATTGTAAAAACACATAGACTTATTTAAACTTGGTTGTATATCTTGATTTATTTCTTTTTATTGTCACAAAACTTGCTAAGAATATAATAAGAAGATAAAAGTATATTTTATAGTATTTTATTCCTTCCAAGGTACAAACACCGTAAGCAATATTGAGGTCAACAAGAAACATTCTACTCATCATTTTTTTTCTTTATATCTGATCATTAACATTTTTGTTGCACTACTGACCAAGAGCATGAGAGTATTTAAGGAAGAATTGTGATGCATAAATTACAACGTTTACAATTAAACTACTTTATACTGTTGTTTCAGTGAAGTTGTGATAGAATTACTTGAATTTCATAACAATTTTTCAGTGTATTTTTTTTTAGTTCAAAAAAAAAAATTAAAAGAAAAGATTAAAAAAAACATCTGGATTGATACAATTGAAAAAAAGAGACAGATTTTAATAACAAAACTGTCAATAATTTAGTACTAAATTATTCAAATCGATTATCATTGATTTAAGAATACTTATTAGTATGAATAGAAGTCTTTTCGTCATTGAACTTTGATCTTTAAAAAAAAAGTGTTACACTTCTGATCATAGAAATATGGAAAAATGTTCTTTGTGTGTTTATTTTCCAAAAATAGAAAGCAAAGAATCATATACCGATAAACCTGTTTCCATCTTGAGGAGCAAAACATCAAATGTTGCACTCCTGACATAATTAGGTATGCACAGATACTTGACTCTCATTAATGCCGCTTGTGACATATATAACATTTTTAACTTATAAATGGTATATCAGTTATTGTTTTACACTTTGAAAATTCCTTTTGGCTTAATTATCATACAATTTTTTTTAAATCAATGTTTATTCGGCAACACTACATTTTTTTTCTGGCATGACATGGTATAACATTTTTTAACAGCAGCCATGGTCATAAATTGGTCAAACAAAAATTACTACAGTCTGAATTTAAAGCTTAATACATTAAATTTTTATTAGGAAAGTCTTTATTTCCAACATAACCATTATTACTTGTTTCACAGATCTTCAAAAATATTAAATTTTCCAAATGTCACCAGAAAGGTGTTTCAACATCATTTTTGGGCGTAACTTATTTGTGACTTGAGATATCAATGATATATTTGGTAGGTATTTAGCCAATATCAAAAGACATATGCTGAGTTATACACGTAGAAATTTATTCACATTGCCTGTATTTTTAGTGCAAGTTGATAAATATTCATTTTTTTTCAATTCACACATACATTGATGTTTAATATACTTCGTCATTTCAAATTACATTCAAAGCTAGTTAAAATCTACTTATTAAGAGCATTCTTCACTTACCGCCGTTTGACTCTCGGCGACTAGTTTAGTGTACTCTAGAGACGTCTTGTTGGCAACGTCGTTTACGTTAACATTAGACAGAGTTAACACTATTTCATACACTAACTCCTTTACAGCTGAAAATAAAGAGGAACTTTTCCTGATATATATTTATACATTATTGTGTTTCACTATGGAAAAAAAACTTGACAAATAATGAGGAATTGAGAAAGATTTTTGATTCTGACTTTCAAAAATGGTCATCAATATACTCGATAAGTATTGTATCAATGCATAAGTTTAAGTAAAATATATGTACTGTTATTCCATTGATGTATAGCTTGTGCTTTATTTCCAGATCCGTCCACCATATTGACCGTCAGAGAATACTCTCCGTTCCGAAGCTCTGTTCCGACCCATTTGTTATTACATGACACCTCTCTCACCTGTACTGGGGACTGAACTGTACAAACTGACGTCACTTCTTCGTTCGTTGTCCACGACAACATCATACTTCCGGCTGTTTTTAATGAGGGTATACCAGTCCACTGCAGGGAGGGTGGTGTCACGTCCTCTGAAAATTTAGAGTCATATTCTAGTATGACATGCTTTAAACCTCATCATCTTCAGAGTTGACATGTGAATTACTTAAAGTCCACGAAAACGAGAGATTAGTTTGAATGTTTCATGGTTTCGTGTTAACATAAACTAGTTACTGAACTTTCTTTTACTCCAAACGCGTTTCCGCTACACATTAGGGAACTTTGTCAACCTGTATAAATGACAACGCAGTACTACATGAGACTTTTGTAACAACTTGTGCATGGAATAAGTCGATCTTTGTATACCATGGTAGTTATAGTGTTTATTCAATAGAAATAGCTAATCATGTATTGCATATGAAATATCCGAGCTAAACAACGATATTTTCACTCTTGGAATAAAGTTGTTGAAAAAATGCTCTGGTATTTACATTGTCGGTTTACCATTAATCCATCTGTATACATATGGTCCTCCGAAGTTTCCTGAAGAGTCCGTGACGGAGATCACAAGTTTGTAAGATCCTGGGGGAAGTAACATACCCCTCCATCCTCCATCACATGACGATTTCCGGTAGAAGTTGGCGGGACCATTGACGACGCAGCTGCTGTTTACCGGCTCCGTGACAGCCCAGGTTATTGTGGCATTACTATATGTTCTCGAAGGTGCTTTTGAAAATGCTAGCCGTGGTCGGATAGTATCCACTAGGACATTATTATATATATTAGTTTGTTTTTATTAAAACGAAAGTTATATATGTACTATGATTTACATATTTCAAAGTAATGATGATTCCTACGGTTCAAAAATTTTTATTGGAACCTATAGGAAGTATCCAATTTTCATATTTTGCGATGCTATTTACATTTATATGTAAATAAATATTTATATCTATATGTTCCAAAATCAAAAAAGATGAAATATGATTATATTTCCATTTTAGATTTTGTTTCCTGGCTAGAATATAATCTCCACAAAGAATTCAACCGAGAAATTAACCGTTATAGATTTCTTTCAAAACTGCATAGAGGCCATGATAAAACACACCTAAGAATTTAAAAAAATACGTTCTATGTGAACGATAACCAAAAATGTTTTTAGAAGTATTGTTTTAGGGTAAACTTAAGAGTAACAATCCTCAGACTTTAACTGTACATTAAATGAGATGCTAATGATGTCACTTTTACTTCTTACAAAGACATACCATTTCGCCAGTTATGAACAAAAGGACCAGCTGTGTTATTCCCTAGATCTACTGTTATAATGCTGAGTTTGTAATTTCCTCCCTGCATACTGCTACCAGACCAGGTACCAGAATTACACAAGAACACCTCTTTGTTGTTGGGCGTGGTTAATGTACACGTTGTCGATACTGGCTCATTCACAGACCACGTGATTTTTGCGTCATTTATTGTAAGGACATCAATTCGTGTAAATGTTAGAACAGGAGGAGTGACGTCCTCTATTAAAATGTTTAGAAAACAGTTAACTGTGATTTACCAAACCTTCTTTGGTAACTGTATAAACCTTTGTATAATAAGTGATATTTCAACATGTTTTTTTCATTATTCAAAAAATTGTATTCTAGTTAAGGATTTCAATTACTAGGATACTTTTGCAGGACTCAAACCTACGCATTAAAAAAATTCAGCTATAACAAATATTTTAATACTGTCTCATGGAAATGAATTTCAAGTAAATGATAATGGGAAAAAATAACTTACTGTTGTACCACGTGTATTTGTACGTTGGCGCCGAATTTCTGGATTTATCCCTGGCTGTAATTTCTAATGTTACATTTCCCTCCGGCAAAAATATCCCATTCCAACTTCCATCACAGCCAGGAAACACTTGGCGCTGTACTGATGTTGTGATAACACATGTTGACGTAGCAAATTCGTTGAATGTCCACGTAATCGTTGCATTATCAGTAGATTTATGACAGTGAGGTGTATTTGTAAACTTCAATTCTGGGGGTTTTACGTCCCCTTAAATTAAGAAAAGAATTACTTGCACAATTTAACAATACAATGATGGACAATACTACAAAATATCTCAAAAAAATAACATTTGACCTATAGCAATAAATAGTAACCTATAGAGAATTTCTTTTCTTAAACTATCGTTCCACAGTGTGATTTTAGGTGACAGAATGTGTGTTTTTTTTTAATCCAGTTGGGGTTGGAAGATCATTTTTAAGCCAAGCGGTATTCAAACAGAAACATATTCCAGGTATGAATGGGATTAAAACACTTTTCACACAACAAGAGTGTGGTAGTTCGCAAGTACTACGTACTCAGTATACTTATCAAAGGAGGATGTAGAGTGGAGATTTTAGGTATTTTAATAAAAAATATTCATGAAACATGAATGTATTTCGACTTACGCGAGTGAGTCAATTGGCAATTTTTGTGAGAAAGTGATTTTTTTGGAACCTGAACTTTACTTTTTACTTACACGACATCGTCAAAGATATTGCAAAATTACGGACTGTATCACTTTATGATCTCACCAACAGAAGCCAACAAGTTCACAACTTACTGTTATACCACTTATGCTGGAAAGGACCTGCCATGTTTAAAGATTCGTCATAGACTGTGACATTCAGAACAAAATTTCCTTCTGGTAGATAGTCCTCGCTCCATCCTTTATCACACACCACTGAACGATAGAATGATGGACCCTCAATTTCACAAACTCCAGAAGCGACCTCGTTAGTCACCCACGTGATGTTGGCTTTGCTAAGTGAACGTCTTGGTTTCCGCCTAAATGTGAGTATTGGAGGTGTAACGTCGACTAAAAACAATATTTGAAATGCATTAGCTGTATATTTGTAAGGGGAACACATCAACATAAAAATTATGGTTAATTTCATTGATTTTATTAATATTTTACATTTCTTTCTACTGATGTCATTTCTAGTTGAAACGGTCATGACCAAGAGCAGATATTGATTCGGGTATTATAAGATAGAGTTAAATAGAGGTTCAATAACCTGTGTGAGTTTCATCCCGAGTTTCTTAATTTTTTAGTGTTAAAAGGACACGAGCTTGCAGAGTACAGGTACAAACTAGAAAACTGACAATCGGAGAGGGCCCCGCTAAGGGCTGTGGCTGTTTAAGGAAAGTGCCAACTGCATTTAGTTGTATACATCCAGGCATACATACAAACAGACAAATTGATATTATCCCGAAATGTATATGCGTATAGGTGCCTTGCTCTTATAGTAAAGTACTTTTAAAAAATGAAAAAAAAAGTTTCGTTGAAAGTTCACGAGTCATCGCATCACAATAAAAGCGTTGGCAGATGGACAGTTAGACGGACGGACGGACAGATAGACAGACGGACAGAAAATGTGATATTTCTATAGGGATCGCGCAATTTTCCTGCGAGACCCTTATTAATAGGGCTTCCTAGCACCAGAATCCCAAACCCAGTCGTAAAGAATTTTCTAAATTCTGGTAGAACACCCTTCCTCGTTAAAATACTCTCTTTGCCTCCTGGATGCCCGGGAGCAAAAAAAGATTTTCAAAGAATAAATGCATTTTGACTATGATATGATCTATAGAGACCCACCTGAACACCAGAATCCCTGACCAGGAGATAATTACCTTCACAATTTTGGAAGAGGCACTTTGTTCATCAAAACCATGCACTTACTAGTAGTAGCTAAATATCCAAGAACAGAGATTTTCAGAGAATCAATGCATTTTCACTATATGATCAATATAGTCACACCCTAACATCAGACCTCCTGATTTAGGGGCCATGAAATTCACAATTTTGGAAAAAGTGCTCATCAAAACTATTTCCTTGCTTAATACCTAAAATCAAAGAAGAATATTTTTAAAGAATTCTAGCATTTTCACTAAAGATTATTTTTAGAAACCTACCCTAACACCTGAACCCCTGAACCAAGGGCCATGAATTTCACAATATCAGTAGAGGGCTCAATGATTGTTATAATCATATAAACAGTTTGACTACTTGATGTCCAGGAGTAAAAAAAGATTTTTGAAGATTGCAATGATTTTTATGGTTTTTCGTCCCACCCTTAGGGTCCAAGTGGGGCAAAGACCATAAAATTAACAATTTTCGTTCCCTTTGTCAAAGAAATGCCATGACATTTCAGAGAAGGCTAGAAATGTTCAAATATTAACGGATGTAGCACGACGACGGACGAAAACAGAAAGCAATGGGTCACCTGAGGGACTCAAGTTACCTAAAAATCAAGGAATGAGAGTTAGAAAAAAATCGGTAACTAAAGAGCACGTATTACGGAACCCTTTTTCTAGCATTGCAAAAACTGAATTTCTTCACATCTTATGGTATAATTACTTCGCGGATCATGGCAGATCACAGCAACCAATCAAAGGCTTTGCTGATCAAATGCTCGCAAGGAGTTCTCTAACATGTAAGAGAACCAAAATCAGAATAGTGATGACATCATATAGCTCTAATGGGAGAAGACATTTTCATACAACAGGTCGTCGGAAGGGTGTAAATTTTTATCCCTCAAGATCTTGACCATGTTGCAAAAAATGTTTTCGAAAATAATTAATTGTAGTTAACAGAAGTAACTTACAGTCGCAATGATTTATATTTTATGTTTTAAAAAAAAGTAAAATTTTATCAAGAATATTGATATATATTTTTTTAAAAATGATGCAGTTACTCCCATAAGTCACTTTATTTCATAAATCAAAAGCATATTTTCTACTTTTTTCACATCGTCTGAAAAAGGAAAAATATGGTCTCTATAAGTTTAAGATTGTTACAATTGATTCCGATTTGTTTTTGACATTTCTCATGTTTTCAGATGAAGTACGGATTTTTGCATTTGAATGTTTTGCTGATTAGTTGTTTTAGCCTTGGAAAATGAACGCATGGAAAATATACCTTTACACAACATATTTTTATTCGCCAGTGTAGCAGATCAGAGGCATAGGTATCACTTTATCTAGAGTTCATTCCGATTCTGTCTGCCTGACTTTCTGAGAGGAGTCACATTTTCACAAACAAGCCTCGACCTAGAACTATCTTATTTTAAATCATTTCATCGTGATATTTTATGGAAAAATAATTCTCAAATGCCATCATTATAGAAATTAGAAATTGTTAGCTGAAATTCAAAATTGGATGTTTTCGCAAAAAAAAAAAAAAAAAAAAAAATGCCGTTATCATTGATAATTGGAGTCGATCTGCATATACATCTCCCGATGTATCTGGCATCAATGTGACTGAGCAAAACGCATCAGTAAACACTTAAGAGTAAATACATCGATGTTCTCTTTAAGAATTCTTGGTGCAAATGAAAATAAAAACATGAATATTCTACAATATTCATGAATCTATCATCGGGATCATTCATAAGCAGTTTTTGTCTAACATAAGCAGTGTCTAAGAAATCCATTATTTCCATTGACTATCAGCCGGCAATCCGTGTTCATTGAACATTCTAGTTCATATAATCTAATATCACATAAAACAAACGAAAGGATACATAACATTACCACTAAGAATAGTTACACCAAAGTGTAAGCATAATTATATACTGTTAGTCCAAGTGTGAAGAAATGGCCCTCCTTGAAGACCAACCAGATCCACCAAGGTGATGCTGATCTGGTATGAGCCACGCGGTAAGTCAACAGCCTCCCATTGACCATCACATAATTCGTTTGTCTTGGTGGTGTTTGGATATGTAATGATACAAGAGGAAGATGCAACAGGCTCGCTTGCATTCCACGTGATGGATGCATTGCTTTTGGTAAGCGAAGGGTTCAAGGTGAAACTGAGATTTGGGGGTGTCATATCATCTGAAATACAAACCAGGACTAAGATTAAGAAGAAATATAGCAAACACAAAGGTGTCATTAAGCACTCTTGGAATACATTTTTCATAACAGTTGCTTTTGTGACAAATAGAATAATCTTAAAATTCTATTATACATATCATACAAGAGTTGTCCCAGAAAAACGCCAACTTTTTAAAGCTATATATGGCGTATTCAAATAATCAATATTAAGAAGATCTTACTATTTGTTTCATTACTTTATACATAAAGATAAGACTTTTCTGTAAATTACTCAATTTTAATCAATGACGTTTCAAAGATATCAAAAGTATAAAACAATAAAATATTTATTTACCGACTCCACAAAAAAATAGAGATTTGAATATATCCGCCTTAATTTGATCGCGTGACACTATATTTAGACAATCAACAATAATGGCGAACAATGAGAACAAGAAGTAGACCAGCGAACACAAGCAGTTTAACAGACTAAGAGAATAAAGAAAGGAAGAGACAAACACAGAGAGAAGTAAAGAGAAAATTTTGTTACAATATCATGTCCATTTATACCTCTTCTTCCATCATGGCTTTCTCGCCGAAATACGGCTGAAGTATTGCCGACTCGGCGTTAAACAATAACAATCAATCAATCAATCCATCATGGCTTTAATGCTGTAGTTTCCCACAGTCATGTTCGTGGCGGATCTTATTAATATTCAACACAAAGTGTAAAGTCAATTTAATTATAGAAACAAGGGTTATTCGAGTTCAAAATCGGTAAAAGTTTTAATTTAAACGTACATAACATATATCATGTTTTTTTTTTTTTACACTCAATTACGTATTATTATGTTTTAGTTCAGATAAGCCATGTATACCTTTAAATATCTCATAAAATATCTGACCAAAATGATTCACTGGAAGAGGAACCTGATTGAACAAACAAGCATTCTGAGAGTATTGCATTAGCAATACTAGTCCCCTACCGGCAAGTGTAATCTGGTTCCCGTTAAAAATTGAAAATGCCATAATTCTGTCAAAAATCAATGAAGCGGAACGAAATGCAAACTTAATCTATAACTCATCAAGGTAAAGTTACATACCAAAAAACAGCTCAATATCTGCAAGCGTTCAGAAGAAAATTGCGGAAAACCCTGAGAAATTGAAAAGGTCATAATTCCGTCAAAAATCATTGAAGCGGAACGAAATTCAAAGTTGTTCTGTAACTCATCAAGATACACTCACATACCAAAAGTCAGCTCAATATCTGCAAGCATTTAGAAAAAAAGTGCGGAAAACCAAGTGGGACAGACAGACAGAGGGAAAGATAGACAAACAGACAGACAGACGGACGGACAGACTCAGAGGAAACCTATAGTCCCATCCGGTTTCACTAGTAGGGGACTAATAAACTGAAAAGTAAGAATCAGAACGTCATACGTGGAGACCAACTTCTCGAGAAGTTGGAATCATCATCAGGGTTGGAAAATGGTCTTTTCAAAAAATCCATTACGCGATCTTTAGAGTGTGTGAGAAAGGTATTTCAGTTACTAAATGAAAATCAAATGTACTGTCCAAATCCTGCTTCAAATGAAATTTTAAGATTCTCAAGAAAAAAAAAGCGCAATTCCTAAACAATTTTACAAACGCCAGGAACGTGTTGGGCCAACAGTAAATCAGTTTGACTGAAATAAAATTGTTATTTATAGAGATACTGTATTAAAATTTATACCAAGCATGCATAAATTGTTGATTATTATGCATGCAAATTTTTTCAACTTTTTAATATCATTGATACAAAAAAATATTGTAAATGTTGGCGTTTTTTCTGGGACAACCCTCGTATAATACTGGTTTGGAGATATGTGATCAAACTTACTGATAACCCACTGGTGAGTGTAAGGGCCGGCTTTGTTCCCAGACAAGTCTTCTATGTCAATACTGATGACGTAGTTTCCTGGTGCCAATTGGCTACTGAACGATTTACTGCACGAGACAACAGACGCACCGGTAGGCGTGGTTAAATTACATTGTTCCACTGAGAGAGCTTCGTTCACCGTCCAAGTCATGATGTACATTTCGTCGCTGTTCTTTTGTGATGGAGTTGACGTAAAGTTTAAGACAGGTGGGCTAAGGTCAACTATACCGAAAAAATAACAAAAACAGCAGTTGCAAGATAGTTGTTCATGATAACAAAATATCGTTTAATTTGCAGTCGGTTTTTTTAAAAAAAAATATTTTCGTAAGTAATGATGGATGAATTTGTACAAAGCAGGTGGGGTTCCTTACCAACAGTAAAATTCCAGAAGAAAGGTTGTGAGATCCCTGTCCAGTCTGTTGTACAGCTGAAAGAATCCGCAGCAACGGCTCCTGATATAAAACAGTTTTGCAGGTTACTAAGAAATCAGCTTTTTATATAAGGTTACAAAGAAATGAGCTTTTATATGAAATTCGGAACACAAACGTTTGAAGGGCTGTAATCACCGAATACATTTCCTGTCTGGTTCAGCAAAAGTTTTTTGCAGTATGTCTTATCGTCTTTGGCAATTTTGTATGTCTTAGAATGGAAAGCACATGGCAACAATTATAGAATGGCATATCAATAAAAATTCTGAACATATTACCTGACTCCACAAGAACATAGTACTCTCCAGTAGGTAAAATAATGGAATCTGCAAAGAATTTTTTTTAACTTTAACACATCAGATCTGTAAATAAATCTTTATCATGTTAGTTTAAAGTCAGAGTTACCTGGGGAGCCACCCAACGTGACTGTGACTTCCCTGCCGCCTGAGTCCGGAAAGGAGGCCACAGCTGGGTCTGTCAGATTCAGTTTGTGTGCCACAGTTCCGTTGGTATGATGTATTATAAGGAATTTTTCTGATGTCGGTCGAACGAACTAGCAAGAAAGAAATGTAATATGTTTTAGGTCAATTTCAAGATGTTTATTTTGAATTTAAATAGACTAAAGATTTTTTTATATTTTTTTAAATTTTTTATTTATGATTTGTAAGTTGCTGTAGGTTTTTCCCTTTCTTTATACTTTTATTTGCAATATGGATCTTGCTTTTATACAGCCCAGTAGCTAAGTACTTCGGTACTAGCTTGAAATACGGATATATATTTAATTGCTGTGGTGAAATTTAGAAATTTATTTCAAAAATTAAGGATTATCTCCCTCATGCATAACTCTGATCCTTTGACGTATTTGGCTCCAGTCTTTGGCACCCACTTTTTTCAGCTCTTCAAAGTTTTATTTAAATATTTCGGATTTCCAATGTGTCGGCATGAGCAATCACTGAAGAGACATAATTTGTCGAAATGCGCATCTTGTGCATCAAAATTGGTACCGTATAAGTTTTGCATGGAACTGATTGCTTCGGATCTGATTCATTCTGGAATGAGTTTTTCGTATATTGAAGGTCAAGATATTATGAGCTATGCCTAAGAGATTGGCACTAGTCAATATGTTGTTGAGTGTGCCCCTCACCTTGTCAAAGGCCACAGATGATAAGTTTCCTTGTTCAAAGGTAACGGACTTTAATTTTTATGTTGGTAGATAGTTACCTTTCTGTTAAAACACATCTTTAATGTGTTTGTGAGTTTATCCTCAATTTCTCGCAATGGCGTTAAACATCCTTTTGTTAGCTCTATTGCAGGTGGGGCTACAAAGAAAATGATATCATCTGAAAAGCAACAACAATGAAAATAGTTTTGATTTCCATTGTAAAATATTGATCTGGTATACAAAGACAGAATATCATCTAATCTTTACTCTTCTTCATTATGCAAAAATAATGTTTCATACATAACAAAAATTTTAAAACAAAGAACTTGAAAAGTATGATCCTAAAATATGGAACATTACTCAGGCAAACAATAAAACACGTAAACAGTATACTGCGAGGTGAATGATATCAGATTACTTGGTATCATTCGAAGAGTTCTATGTTACCACTTACTTCCTTTCAGAAGATCAACACAGATCATACTGGAAGTTAATCTGAAAGAGCATATTTTCGCAATTAATCGAAATGGTTTATTATCATTTAATTACAAAGTGTCAGGTATTAACAATATCAAATGATACGAAGAACATCCACTTAATTGCGCGTCCAATAGTTTTTGTCTACCAGTCGGTCTACACTTGACAGAATACTCTTGTAAATTAACCATGCCTACTTATTATTTATTTCTGCATTGAAGCACAGCAAGTGCAGTCCACTTTGACTCTGCGTCGGTGTCCATGTGACTGTAATTGACCATTCCCTTCCGGAGCTACCATAGGGAGACAAGCTGGACTTCCCAATTCCTACCGGACCCATTATGGATAATTTTGTTATCCTTTAAATTGATATATGACATCTAAAGTTAATAATCAAATGACTACTATCTATTTTTAATAAGAAAGACATACATGAATACTGTAAAAGAAAAAGCAACGGTTCCCACTGTCACAAACTTGATGTGGAAAGCAAGACGAAACGGACATGACCATTCAGTTCCCTTTGTATTCCTTTATGTTAGTTTCTCTTACTTTCCTCTTAACTGTTTTGTGGGTAATGGAGTATATTCATGTGGTGAACACAAGCGTGATACTTGCTTCAAACATTCTAACAGTCTCTTTGTCTTTGTGTGACGTTTGTATATTTTGCCTTTGCCTTGTTTTCTACTTTCCTTCAACAAGTACAGCATTCGCTGGAGATCCTTGTGCCGAAGAAAACATGAATCAGGTAATCAAAGCAATGAAATACAATTTTTCGTTTCGTTTTGTTTTCATCCAGTTCTTATATGTTTTTCTCTCGTGTAGTCTCGATTTCGTGATTTGTTCTGAATTGCATCTACTTTGTGCACGTTGCCCTACTTTCCTCTTGAATTTACCTTTTTGTTGCACTACGCTCAGTTTATATTTTTTATGTATTGTGAAAACCATTGCTCTTTTTCCCCACTAATTCAGGTTCTGTGAATCTACTTTCAAGAAACCAAATACACGTATAATATCTAAGTTTTGTGACAAAACCCAGGCTTAACACTTACGTATGAGAGGCACTTGTAGTTCTGGCCACAAGAATTTTTGTGAATGTGTTTGAGACAACATAACAGCTGCCTTCGGTAGGAGTAGGATCAACAAAGATAGGAGCATCAGTGCACTTGAGTGGGTCGTCAAACACTACTATTAGAAACTGAAGGGGAACCGAGCTGAGCACAGTTGCCGGAGCCGTGGTTGAGAAGTCTTCGATTTGTACGTGCACACCAAAGGTTCCGGTTCTGGTCGTGTTATAGGAAAACATGCAAGTGTCCTACAGAAAAAAGAAACATTGACTGGTCAGGTTGAAAAAAGAAAGCCTGCATGTATAAATACCAAATTACATGTAATCCATTAAAAAGCTGTTATAGAAGTGGAGATAATTCAGATAAGAGCTATAGACGAACAATTAGTCACAAGAAAGAGGTAATATAACGCAATTTTAAAATTTCATGCAGAATTCATAAACACAAAATTCTGACAATTCAGTAAGTTTGACCTCTTCATCGGTAAGGGTCTCGGGCATGGTCATATGGGGGTATTTTGAGAAAATATTCATGAATTTTTTTTTCCAAACGTGCTCTTACATTTTATAATCCATGATATCTCGCTGCATGTGTCGGAATCAATGAACACTTTTCTTGGGAACACCTTTTCTTGAGATTTAACAATCATATTTTCAACTTAAATAACATAGTCAAAAGTATGCAAATTTACAAGTCATATTTTAACAAGGCAGGCTTTGCTAGTGACATGCATTAGTATTCCTTGTTTATCGTTACACAGAGAAAACTGCGTTTAATTCTATTCATTGCATTGTATGTTAAGGTCATTAAGACATTTTTAGGGCAGGTAAATCCATTGAAATTTCTTTCAATACTGTGTCACCAAGACCTCGGATAAAGTACGAGTCCATTCACACTGCCCAAAAAGGTCTGTTTTCAATTTGCTCAAACTATAGATTTCACAACCGCCAATTACCAAAATTGAAAATTCTCTAAGATTTTTTTTCTATTTTATTTATTTTTGGATAGTTAGCAAAACCCTTCTAAAATTGTTATGCTTATAAATATAAAAGTTTATTTTTGATATACAAACCTTGTCTATTGTACTTCCCGAGAGTCCATTACAAAGATACCCACATTCGTCAGTGTCGCTCCCGCTGGAAAAACGACATCTGACAATATCCCCATCAGCATCAATCACTGCAACAAAAGTGTGAAGTGTTGCACGAAGTTAAAATACGTATATGTACTTGTAGTATGAAAAAAGTAAAGATAGCTTACAGTGGTCGATCTCAAGAAAACTTACAAACAACATAAATCTGTGAACAGAGCAAAAACAAAAGCAAGGACCCCAAGAAATTCCAGAGGTGGAATCAGGTGCCTAGGAGGAGTAAGCATCCCCTCTCGACCTGTCACATCCGCCTTGAGCCTTATGTATGTCAAGTAGGCGTAATATTCCGAAGTCAAATTTAGTATAAAACAAATGCCTAACAATTGATATGAAATATGTGAGACAAAATACGACTCAATGATTGGTTATTTTGCTTACAATGTCAATAAACATGTAACGACCATAGAATTTATGAAATGCTGACTTTAAACGAGGTTGTTGAAATTCCTATAACTTTGTCAGTAGCCTGCCTCGGTTTAAAAATTGATCAACTCAAAGCATTCTCTTGAATATCGAATAAGTGGAGACACAAACACGATATGCAGGTGAAAGTGGAATATTACTACGTCAATTGGGAGAGATGACGATGGAAAAGCTGAGTTCATCTCCTTTGTCATACAGTTTAATTGTTAGTTGGCCCTTATCGTCAATAGTAAGTGAATCGGATGTGGCTGATATATATTCCATAAGGTTATAACTGTACCTGGAATTCTGAATGTGTGTGGACAATTATAGAGAAGGCGAATTATTGGCGCCATGGTAACTACTGGGGAGGAGTTTATGACCCCGGTGTCCACCCTCGGCGCTGTGTTGGCTGTCATGGTCATCCTAACATTTTTTGATGAAGCACCAGTGGTCAAAGTCTGCCAACAACACTGCTCCATTCTGGGAAGGAAAAAAATTGCTTATTCTTATTTTGAGACAAGAATTTGATAATGTATGGGTAGGTTTGATTTCAAAAGAAATGTGCTTGGGAAAACGATTGTCAATTTTATAAAACATTTACACATAAGATGCCATGAAAATATAGAAATTGCAAAATGTTGACTTTAAACAAAATATCCTTGTATCATCAACTTATTTGTCAAGAGTTTGTCTCGTTTTAGAAATTGTTCGTTCGTAAAAAAAAATGCTCTTGCGTATTGAATCAACTCCAAATGCATGTGATAATGGTACATTGTTATTTATGTATAAATAATTAGGGGAAGGTGATGATTAAAAAAAAGTTGAAGTCATCACGTATATCAAGTTTAGTTGTTGGTTTGCCATCAACGTATTTCTCTAATAAAATATGTCAATATGAAACTGATTTGTCAGACTCTGTGGTGTCTTTTATTTTGAGTACAAAGGGTTCTATCGAAGCAAGGAGAATATTGTTAATTGACAAAATGTCGTCGATATATCCAAATCTTGATTTGAAGGACACAGCCAGAGACTTTTTCTTTTCATGTTGAAGTTTTTTAATAAATTCTGTTCCAAAGGAAAACAGAGGCACAATTAGTTCCCATGAGAAGTCCAACAGATTGTTGGAAAACCTGGTCTTCCAAAACTACATAGATATTGTCAATCACAAACTCGAACATATTTTTATCATCAACTTCGGAGTACCTATGCGTACAATCAGAATGTTTTAAACCAAAATATGTTTGCAAATGACCAATGACAAGGTAAGTAAATTTGCGAGTTCCATTTTTATTAAAAACGCAGTTGTCAATAATGTCTAAAAGCCTAGTTTTTATTCTATCATGGGAAATGGTAATAAAAGTGTTGAAAAGTCGTACGCTTTAATGCTGTTGATTTTGCTAAAATTTTGTCACTTCAACTTTCAAAAAAAAAATTATTTTGTGAGGAATAAAGTAAGAAGGTTGTTAGAAAATTTCCTAGAACTCGCTATGTATCTTTGTTAGTATGGACTTTATGTAGTTTAAGAATCTAGTATAGGTATGATTAATCAAATTCAATTTGTTTGTTTGGAACATTAAAAATATTTAAAACTGATATGTGATTTTGAAGAATTTCCTCCTTAAAAAGCGAACTATGATTATAAGTTGGATTACCACTTGTGGAATTAAATCTAAGTTTTTCTAAAATACAATTATAATAATGAGCCTTAAAAACAAATGCAATATTGTTATCTGCTTTGTCAGCTGGAACCAGTATATATTGATCGTGTAAAATATCTAATTCTTTTTTCACTGCTGAATTACTGAAGACAGCAGGATAGATGGTTTTCATATATTGCCCCTCAACCATTTTACGCGAGGTTATGACATCCATCTTATTCTTTAATCCATTTTGACAAAGTGTCAAGGTCTTATCCTTCAGATTTGACCAATCGTCTGGCATAATCTTCGACAGAATTCATAACATTAAGAAATGTTTACGCTCATCACGAAATCTAACTTAGATACTGAAGCATAACTTCTCTAATTAGAGAATTCCTTTTTGCACACCAAGTATTGCATCTCGGTGTTGTTTCATCATTTAAGGTTTAGCACATCTTAAGAATCATTGTTTTGTTTACCTAAATACGTAGAATCATAGAATCATCTTAAGAATCATAGCTTTGTTTACCTAAATACGTAGTTGATCCCCGGCGTCGGGAGAGTAAACGTGAAGGTTCCCTCGCCTAAAGACCAGTTCTCGCTGGAACTATAAGCAATGCATTTCCCATGCATTGAGCTGATCTGTGTGTTGCACCCCGTCCTGCAGTACAGCTTACCATCGACCGTTATTAGACCCTGGGAAGAAATCTTGCTGTCGTCACAGCTAGCTCCACTGTATGTACGTCTCCAAGCCATCTGGTAGGATATTTCAATCTGCAATGGTCACATTTGGATTTTAAAATTTTAAGAATAATGTAATCGTAAAAATACTTGTGGTCCTCAGTAAGAAAATAAGGGATATGTCCTTGTAATTAAAAATTCTAATAATGGCTTTCATAGTGAACTTGTTTATGTTGTGTGTGTCGCTGATCTGAGATATTTTAGGCAAAAATAAAGTTATGATTTTGAATTTAATTCATGGGAAAGTGAAATGGTAGCATTTCCAATATCCACATTGTGGTCTAGGATGATGATTTGTACTTTTTTTTTTATCTGGGTTTGTTTTGTTTTGAATTTATATCTACACATGGCAAACAACACTTACAATATAATTTTCTCGCCCAAATTCAAATATTAAGAACTAAATCATAAAATAAAGTTAAACGGTAAAAACTCACTGAAGTAGTATATGGAGTAAGAGAATGCAACCTGAAAGACAGACTAACACGACATTTTTATGAACAAAAAAAAGAAGAAGAAAAGAGCAAGTGTTTTAAACCGTAGAAGGAGTACACAGGAAAAAGTATACGTCTTGGTATACTCAAGGATGGGAAACCCAGAATTTTAATCTTACTTAACATCAAAAGCAGTTGTGAGCAAGGAATACCGAGAATGCAAGAGAATGGAAGGACATGCGAAGATTAGGAAAAAGAGACAATACCAGACAGAACTATAAAAAAAAAAACTCAAAAAGTCTGCTTCTTCAAAATACATAGACTGCAATTGCCTCGGAATATATATAAAGATCGATGCAAGAGAAGAGTAAAAAGAAAATGTGTAAAACAATGTGACTAGTTATGAATCTAATTAATTGTGTTTTCTTTCTTTTAATATCTGGTATATAGGCTAATGCTTGTTAACAATGATTCTATAAGTTCAAGATAAGATGTCGAGAATATTTAAACCATTAGTTTATTGTAGTTTTAAGTACAGACTTGGAATTGGCGACAAGTTTTGAAAACTTGTCACCCCTTTCTCTTATTCCATGAATGCAAATGTCAATCTACAGACAAACTTTAGTGGAATCCAATATGTAGTGATGTGAAATAATAATAAATATTGAGTGAATATTGACAATTACATTTAGAAGAAAGATTATATATGTACTAAAAAAAAGTTTGTTTTTAAAGAGAGAAGACATTTCAGGAAACGCGTTTTATGGAAATAATAACTACAGTAAAACTCGGTTACAGCAAAGTCCTGGGGGCCTGTAAATTGACTTCGTTATTTACGCAATTTATTATCCGTATAACCAATTTGTTAAAGTATAGATAGCGAATTCGCAATATACATATGCACATGTTTTCCTTCAAGTTTGATTACTGATTATATGTCCGGGGATGTATTAAATACAAAATTAACATTGGATAACAAATTCTTTTCGATGAATTTCATAATAAATAAAAATAGTAACGAAAAATTACATACGTCGACTCAATATATCTCAATAAACTCGAAATAAAAGACACCACAGAGACTGCCATATCTGTTTCATATTTGGATGTTTTACTGGCTTTAGACGTCGATGACCAACTAACAACTTAACTTTATTACAAATATGATGTCTTCTGCTTTTCCTTCTTCAGCTACCCCTATTTATGCAGTAATATTCCACTTATTACTTGCAGCAGATGTTTATGATTCCCAACTGATTCGATACGCAAAAAACATATTATGATGTACGATCAATTTTTTAACTGAAACAGGCTACTGACAAATTAATTTATGTAACAGAGCTTAAAACAATCTCGTTTAAAGTCAGCATTTTGCGAAATCTGTGATCAGAAATATGACCCTGTTTGCAAATACAACTTAACGTTTTGTCGTATTTTTAATCGCATATTTCATACTAATTGTTTTACCACTTTATACTTTTTGACTACGGATTTAGCTGATCAAATACAGAGGGAGGGGATGCTTACTTCTCCTGAGCATTTGATCACCTCTAGTCTGTTTTTGTCCTGTTCACGGTTTATATAGTACAGGATTTATGAAAATAATAACTGTTCGTTATCTTCGAATTCACCTTTGATAATAACATCTGTTGAAGTGTATACACAGAATCAATTCATTGCAGAATAGCTCGCTACCATTTCACAGACATTTTTTTCCCTAGCTTTGAGTACAACAAAAATTGTTCATAACTAATTTTTTTTAAAAAGCCCATTTTCTAGTAATTTTTTCTACATGTTAAACATGCAAATGAGTAAATGCGTAAAAAAAATCCCATGGAAACGTCCAAGCATTTTACGTGCACTGCACGTACCAACTCTAGAAAAACTTTGTGAATTTTAATTATGATATAAAATGTCAACAGTTTAGGATACAGTTAAAAAGTTTATGAAATCATAAACTTTGTGAATTTTACTTTTAATTGTCAACAGTTCAAAATTAAGTTTAAAAGTTGATAGAATCATTACAAAACATGATTGATATAAATTGACCTTTCATAAAGCAATTTATTTTAGTCATTTAAGTTATGTTTAAAATGAATTCGCAAAAATATATCATACTTTTTATGATAAATTTGAAATATTTTGGAGTAAAAACCATTGAAATCGACCTTTTACAGTTTAAAATTCCGAAAGTACCCTACATTGATATACTTGTCAAATGCAAAAAATTTCCAAAGTGAAGTTGGAACAAAAATAATAAATACTTTAGTGAGACTGAAGGTCAGCAAATAGATATACAAATCCTAAAAAAAAAAAAAAATAAATAACCCGCTAACAACAACTGTACCTGTTGAGGTGATGATGTTGGCTTCCAAGAAATGGATCCGCCTCTGAAATGACTACAGGTAACAAAGGACATCAGAAAAAGAAATATATATGTCTTCAGCAGCATATTTAGCTGCGATGAATTTGTGCAGGTTGAATAAATTTCGGATACTGGATGGATGTTCCATACACCCGTCACTGCTAACCGCCCTATCCAAGAAACGGGTCATGGAGAACTACTTAATCTGCTCTTATGGAAAGGCAGAAAAACAAGTCTGGGTTCATAACGAAGGTCTTAATGATAGATAAATAGCTTAACATGACGATGCGTTTTAATTTTCCCCCCCAACACAACTGACAGTCCCAGCGGGACTTAGAGGTAATTGAATGATTATTGTAGGTGTTATTATGGGTTAATGTACGAGCTACCTCTCCATTCCTTTAAAGAAATAGAGCCCAGACCCGAAGGGACCGAGGCCCACTGCTTTTAAAAAATGGAGAGGTACCAGGATATTGCATCAATAAAAATTATATTGTTAAGATGTTTCTTCATTGTCGTTATCTTTATATGAAATAGGCATGCTTTAAGAGTGTTAAATATGCATTCAAATAATTTGTAATATTATTGTTATACCTTTAAGAAGTGATTCCTATAAAAATCTATACTAAAAAAAAGTCATAACATTTCCGATCTTTTACGGTCATAAAAAAAATCGATGTTTGACCACAGAGTGAGATATTGGACGTGTCGATGAGATATTGGACCGCTTACGTCACATTGTGGGCGGGATGAGCTATATCTTATTTGCATTTTCTGGTGTTCGACAGTGACAGATTTGACCGAGTTTTACCGCAGTGCGGGTAAAGGAAATTTACATCATTGAAGCCAGCACAGGCAAACAGTTTGGTTCTTGGGTCCGACAAAACGCATGTTGCCCTCGAACCCAGTCAATAAATGTACACGTGTAAATTACTTGAATATGATTCGTCAAGAAACATTTGTTTAAAAACACTGTTAACCTCTGAATGATGAAACCACGCCCTCAGCGCGATGAAACTTAGCAACAGTCAACACTGCTTGACGACGAGTGATCTACAAAAAAATATATATATATATTGACTGCGCGGAATCTATGCATGCGCGCTTCACTTTATATGTATTTGTATAAAACATTCAGTATAATATAATAAATACTGCATATAGTTGAGAGTAACATTGAAAATTTTCACCCTCAGAAAATCTTGTCAACCTCGTCTGTGGCTCGATTGATAATAGTTTTCTTGGGGGGGGGGGGGGGGAGGGGATTTCAATGTTACCCTCAGCTATCAACTACATGAATAATTCATGCAGGATCTATATAATACGTAGATTCTTGTATTGCAAAGAAGATATGATTCTTTTTCCTCATCACCGTTGGTAGTTTAGTGTGGAGAGTATCTGACTTAAAGAGTACCGTCCTGTAAAGTAGGCTTTCCCCTCTAAAATCTTTTTCCCCAGATAAATGGCTTTAGAATAAGATACCACCATCCCAACCCCGGAAAATAAACTCTAGAGTAGGATTTCCTCCACTAAAATGACTCTAGAGTAGAATTTCCCCTACGGAAATCCAACACCAGATTCAATTTTCCGGGGAAGGGGAATCCTACTTCATATTAGTTATATAGTGCGATTTCCTCCAGAGCCAATTTTCCCTCGAATAAAATACCATGCCTGTACTAATATATAAGGGGGAGCGACGCATTGATACAACGCAGCAAAGTGTTCCTTCCCTAATTTCCCACAGGTGCTCTGGCAGCGAACAATCTTTGATTTACTTCACAAAGATTATAATCAAAAAGTCTAGTTGCGCATTTAACACTTTTAAGAAATTTTCAAAATGGCGACCAGTTCCATTGAAACTTACGTATGAAAATTGAAAATTTCGAATTTCATTTTTCTCGGTAACTGCCCAACCAATTCTTTTAAAGCATGAAAGTCTTATCTTTTCATCTGGTCAAACCGGTTTGAGAAAAAAATGGTACATTGTAATTGGTTGGACAATGTTTTAACTGTATCCATGGAACAAAAAGGAGGAATTTTATTTTTAAATGGGCTTTCTCCAATTGTTTTTCAAACTACATGTACAAAATATTGATGTGTAAGTGTCTCCCTAAGTTTCTGGAGTTTAAATATTTAAAAAAAACTGTCGTCATGGATCTAAAAATGGTGAATTTTGAAAAAAAATGAAATTTTGCAAAACTTTAAGAGATTATTTCTCTCTTCTTTCAAATCTAATATTACGCAGTTGAGTCGTGCATTTGGCTCTTTGAGAGAAAATTTCTTTAAAGATTTTTTTTTTCTGTATACCCATGAAAAGAATTGACCGCTTCTTAAGGCTCCACCCTAGACCCAAGTGGACCAAACTTGAATCCACACATGGGGATGCACTCTTGGTAATTATCCAAGAGTAAAAATTTTAATAATTATTAAAGGAAGATAATGTATTTAAGGTGTATCACTAGCTTAGTCCTTCCTTAAGGCATGAACCGGGGTAATATGAATTCACAATTCTGTTAAAGAGCTTAATCCGTCGACAATTCAGAGTGTAAATAATGGCCTAACAATTAGTATATAAAACGACAGTCAGAATATGACTTAATGATAGATTGTATTTGCTGACAAGAAGTTTAACCCTATTATAATCACAAACCTTCTTAATCAAGGAGAACATACGAAGATTTTTCAAGAGTGTACAAATATTGATGGTTTTGTCCAAACCCCTTAAGCCCCAGGTGGGTGGGAACTATGCAATTCACAGTTTTTGTCCATACGTTACGTACAAAATTTGGTTGATTTTAGTCTAGCTTTTCAGAGGAGAATCTGAGAATGTTTAAACGTTTAGGAAACACATTTGCCACAAAGCATCTTTGAGTATTGGGCTCTTGGAGGTATGACCGAAAGCGCGTAATTTTTTAAATGTGAAAATAGTTTTGGATTAATTTAAAATTCTTCCTGAGAACCACCTCGCCTAAATTGAGAAATCTTGTGATCAATATTTCTTTAGAATTACGATTTTTTCAGGGTTGGGCCACATAATGGTTCCATAGTTTAACATATATATGTTGTTTTGGGAACATCTTTTAAATTATTTCTCAACACTTCAGATCTGGAAATTACCGTAAATAATTCCAAACGTTCTCAAGCAATGTAGAGATTTTTTCTCTAGCATTGTACCTATGTTGGGGTCAAATAAAAAAAGTATATGGAACAGTCTTAAAAAAGTCTACAATTTTAAAAAACATTTCACAAGAACTAGGTGACATCATTTTATCTGGTGTAGATTCATACCTTGTGCAGGTATAAGGCCACGAATTGGTTCTAAATTTGACAGAAGAAATACTTTTTATCCTCTTTTTATTTGCAGGACGATCTTCACAGGATGTGAAGATGAACAGAGGTGCCGATGTTGATAATGATCATCACCTAGTAACAGCATCTATCAAATTTATACTTCATAGCGCAGTGGAAAAATCATGACAAAAAAGAATTTTGATTCGGACAAACTGAAAGACAGCAAAATATATAATGAATTCAACATTACATTTAGGAATGGGTTGGACGTGCTGCGAAATTAGAATCAGAAAACAAAACATCAATCGACGAGGAGTGGGAAAAGATAAACAAGATCTACACTAAGACTTAGTGAACAGTATATTGGATGTAATAGTTAGATCATATTAAGTAAAGTAAAGAAGAGGCGTAGGAAGCGAAGCGACCGAGGGATTAAGTACATCACTTTAGACTATTTAGCGATTGCTGATTGAATGAAAAAGTGGGTTGTGTTCTAAATAAGCATTAATAAATGAGTAAAGATTGATAATGCAAAGAACATGAACAATAATTGGCTTAAGAAAAGATGACAGAAAGAAACTAAATGAGGCCCAATCTGTGAGACTCAGACAACAGCAGAAAGACAGTGATATACAGAAGGGAGCGGAAAAGGTTCTATGCATCGATAAGAGAGCTTAAGTGAATGATCTACCAACAAAAGCAGAGGAGACCGCAAGCAGAGGGGAGCAAGAAAATCTTCACAAAATTGCAAAGGCAGTGTGTGGCATGAATAGACTATCCCTGAAACTCCATATCAAAGACAGAAGAGGAAAATTGCTGGCATCAGAGAAGGAGAGAGGAAATCTTAAAGAGACCAAATCTAACTCAAGATATTGATATCAGTGATCTAGAAGCAGGTGTAAACATCAACGTCAACGCACCATAAGTTCAAGGAATTGTCTCTGCAATACAAACTTTCAAAAAATGGAAAAAGCCGCTGGAAGTGACAATTTAATTATATGCAGAACTGTTAAAAAAAAAAGACACATTCCTTATTAATTTCATTGCTTTCAAAAAAAAAAGCCTTCGACAGCATTCATAGGGGAAGTCTCTGGAAAATTGTGCGATTATATGCCATCGACCAACATCTAACACTAAGTAGATATCATCAGGAGGTTTTTTCCGTCAACTTTAGATGCAGTGTGGAAACAGCAGAATCGAAAACAGGAGTCCTTTATGGCTGTGTCAGGTCATCAACACTCTTCATCATAGCCATTGACTGGGTCATGAGGAACACAACATCAGGCATTCCACGAGGCATTACATGGGGTACAGTTACAACACTTGAGGACCTGAACCTCGCTGATGACATCGCCTTACTCTTTCACTCCCACCAGCACATTCATGTCAAAACCACCAGACAACAAATATGCAGGAAACATTGAAGATAAACACCAAAAAACAGAGGTCATGATCTTAAATGTCAAAAAAAAAAAACACAAGGTGTTATACAGCAAAATATTACAATATAACCTCCTAGGTACTAACACTTTCACATACTTGGGTAGTAAAGTAACAGTAGATCGTGGAGAAGCAACTGATATCAAGCTCTGAATGTGTAAATAAGTTAATATTTGCAAGCACATGTATGAAGATTCAGTTTGTTCAGATCTTGGTTCTTTTGGCAGAAATGAGCCTACAGAAAGAATTCAAGTATTAACATAGAGACAGGTATAGCAGATTCTTCTCAAAGACTTTTTTTCAAATGTGCTTAGTCATGTACATTCTATATTGTACATTCTTTGCCAACGAAAGGCAGGGATGGGGCCATAAAAAATTATATTGAAGAGGGAAAATTACAAAACTCTTTCTTAAAAATCCAGGGCTGCAAATTGCTAACTTCAATTGAAGTACATTATTAAGGCGAGAGAGGCCAAGTCTTTTTATTCATGTATCGCAAAGGAATCCATTTTTTTTAAAATCCCAAAATAAGGTTTCAAATCGTCAAAATATAAAGCAATTCTCATTAGCGTAAATTCAATATCGTCTAAACCATTGCCCTTTGGACCACGTGGAGATTCATAAGGTAAGAAAAACACTAACGTGCCTTAGGATGTTGTATGGATTTTAAAATTCACAATGAATCACTTTGCTTACGTACAAAGTACTTACATATTGCTTTGTTTTACGTCAATATTTTGCGATAGAATCAGAGCCGAAGGTGTTATGATCTGTTTTTATGTGATATAAATGTACATGTATTACAAATTCAGCAACTTATTTACGTTAATATCTGCTTAATAGCAAAAGTATCTGAGATTTGTTGCAAGATATACTTTTCAAGCTCAATTTATGAACGTAATAATTTTGGGAAATAAGTTGAATAAGCATTGATACTGTAACTTAATGTGAACACAACCACCTACATGTCAAATTATTTTCAATCTTATTCATGTATTAATGATTTTATGATTACAATGCAAAATCAGTCAAAAATTAAATTTAGCAATCACCAGTAAAAAAGCAGGTATGCTTGCATGATTCACATAAAACACACCTACTGTGGTTATATTTTGTTGGAGTTCAATTTTTGTGGGTACTACTACATTATATTTTTGCACAAGAATGCAGGCAAAGTTTGCATTGTCGTTATTAAAAGTCATATCATGGATACGAATATGTTTGTTACGTGCAAGACGTTTTATTAGAGGCAATTAATGATTTACACAATGGCTCCTATTGCTTTTATACTTTATTGTAGCTAAATGCATTGTAGTCATGAATTTTTGATTTTCAAATCCAATCAAAATTTTGAACAATGATTTTTTTTCAAATCTAGAATTACAACATATACATACTGGTTAGACTGTTTATTATATAATTTATACTCGTTCATATTCCGAAGGAACTTCTTAGGTCTCATGCATCACTCAAGTGTGCTATCTGTTCTCTTCGTGTGTTACCCGACTTGCATCTCAATAAGTTTTCACTTTCTTCTCCGGAAAGCCTGTACTAATTTCAACCAATTTTGATATAAAGCTTCTATGCGTAAAGGGGAACAAAAATTATGAAATTTAAGGTTTTTGTCTGCCTGGTACCTGAGGGGCGTGGCAAATTTATTAAAAAACAATGCAATCTTCAAACTCTTCATTACCCCTGGATATCAAGCAGTCAGTCTACTGACATAATCATTATAAGCCATGAGATATTCACCAAAATTGTGAAATTCATGGCCCCTGAGCCGATGCGTTATAGGCTACAGGGTGTGGCTTGAATGGACATAAATTGAATAAAAAAATATATTTCTCAAAATTTCTTTACTCTTAGACATCTGACAAGCAAACTGTTTGTGCATTTTTAATAAACACTGAAACCTTTTACCAAAATTATGAAATTAATGGCCCATAATTCAGGTTCTAGGATGGAGCCTAATTGGTATTATCTCAAAATTCTGAAAGTAAAACAAATAGTCGATGTAATTAAAATCATTTTAACATTCCACACCGTCGGAACCCACAGGTTTTCTCATACAACATAACTAAATTAACATCCAAGAAAAATATGATAGGATTAGAATAAAAAAAACCATAAAACATCAAATATCGCCCACTTACGAGAAGCATGATTTTATTTCTCTAATGTTAACATTCAATTTATACATGTTGGCATGTTTATTTTAAAAATATTGACGTATATACATTCAACATAAATATTCTTACATGCATCTTATTTGTGTTTACATTCGACTTGTCTTGTTTACTGAATATTTTTTTGGTATACGGCAAGTTCAAACTCTCTTCACATACATATAAACTAGGTAAATTATTAGACTAAGTAACTTTTCAGCTGTGTATAGAGACGATAAATAAGTTCCGAACTTGAAGCTTTTCTTTCCATTACAAAATACAGAAATTCCCACAAGCTAGCTAAAAAAATTACATGTGGGTGAAATTGAGTTGTATGTGGACATAAGTTACATCTGATGACATGAATACATGTATTCACATGTATATAACTGTTTTAATCATGCATGTTTAAGCCACATGTGGCAATATTTGATATTTTCTGAACATTTTCCTAATTCAAAGGTGTATTGTATTTTCAATATATTAGCTGTTAAACTCAGTCTTGGAAAATATTAGAAGTTCCGAGCGACCATCTCCACATAAAGTACAAGTAAAATTGATGCAAAGCATCAAATAGGCCGCAATAAAATTTAACATTTCAAAAAGTACTTTCATAATTTAGCATCCAAGACAATCGCAAGATATTCAAAGCTGAAAGACGGATCATGTTCATTTCAGACTGTCTTCAAAGCCAAAAATAAAAAATATAATAAATAAAAAAAATTATTAAAAATAAATAAATAGAAATTTCATTTGTTCATTAAATTAATTCATCGATGTGGTAAAGGCAGTGATAAATGATAAGAATTAATTGTCATCAAAATGAAGATGTAGACCTATTCATATTCAGATCTCAAGATGAACCACGTGCTGATACCGGGGTCTTTGTCACGTGATGATGCCGATGATTTCTGTAAAGTAGGCTATGCTGCACGGCGCGGTGCAAAATGTAGAAAAAATTATCCTTGTGTCATTCGCAGCTGTAGAATATTCAAAATAATTTTTAATTGTTGAACAACTTTTCAATTTTTATTCATCATGCACTTTTACCTCTTAATTATTATCCGGAAAATCATAACGATTTGCATTCATATCTTACACACCCCCAGGTTGGGGAGTACCTATTGTAAACTCTTTTTACAAAATCATAAATTAAAGACTATCTGATAAGAAATGAAAATGAAATTGAAATATAATAACAACAATTAAGACTTAGTTTAAAACAAGTTTTCAAAATATTTTAATCATGATTTTATACATGTTATCATTAAAGAATTATTTCCATGAACTAATAAAGAAATAACGTCTCATATCCCCATGTGCACTTTCTAACACAACCACAAATAGATCGGCCGCTGCTGAAGCCGATAATAAAAAAAACACCTTCACATAAAAAAACCCATCTTCACATGAAAAACCACCTTCACGTGAAATAACATCAGCATAACATAAAAAACACCTTCACAAGCAATAACCACAGCATCCACAGCATAACATAAAAAACCACCTTCACATGAAATAACCACAGCATAAAAAAGCACCACCTTCACATGAACTAACCACAGCATAACATAACAAGAAAACATTGATGTAACCATCAATTGTCGCCCGGGAAATAAATAAAGTAAACAATGGAAATGAGTCTTGATCATCAAACCGCTTCGATATGTGTGAAAAAGGCATGCGTCTAAATGATGGAGACGATAGTCGAGAGTATTTTGAAAACTTATAGTCGGATGAAAATCGAACAAAAACGATACCCTTTTAAACTTTATCAATATTCCTCAAGTAAATGTTGGCTGCATAAAATATAATTTGAAACCAGACACATGCATCACCTATTTTCAAAAATGTCTTTCACTTAAAGAATATAAAACACGAACTGTGTAAAGTACTTTTTTACGTTTTTATGCGATAAATAAAATTCGATGTTCTAAAAAAAGGGACCTGTCGTTTTTTCGATAGTACATGATAAGCAACTTTATATAGTAAATATGAAAAACATACATATTTTTACAGATTCACTTTATGGAAGTAAATATATTGTGTATCTCGTAATTTATAAAGGGAAAGAACATTCTGATTAACAATCTTTTTATTGTTTTGAAAACCTTTAATTCTGAATAACTTCTCCCACCTCAATCCCAATATACCAACACTTAAACTTATATGTATAGAGCAGCCCGGTCCTCCGGGCTGCAATAAAGCACATCCTTCACATGAACTAACCACAGCATAACATAAAAAAGCACCACCTTCACATGAAATAACCACAGCAAGCACCACATTCTCATGAAATCAACACATAAGGCAGCTTTGGCGTTCCATACTGATCAGTACTGACATATGATGGACATATGTTTACAAAAAGAGTGATTTCATTAAATTTGGTCAAAAGAGGATGAAAATAATTTTTAAGAAAAGGTTAACATTGTTGATTTTTTTTCATGGTTTAATATTCAGATAAAATCCTGCTGGAAAACCGTATCCCAGATTTGGCTTCTGTTTTCCATAAACGTATAAAGAAAAGCTTTCTTTTAAAATATTTCTTGCCACGTGATATCCGGGCTGTACCGGTAAGGCTATCACGTCATATGGTTTTGCATTGATGTCATAAATAACTGTTCTATTAACATCTACAATATTTTCGTCAAGTCTTATATTTGATACGTTTCTACTTATAACAGTTATATAACTTGTTGTATTGAGATCAGGTACAACGAAGTGGTACTCCGAAAGAAGAGAGCGCTCATCTGGAATATACAACATAAATGCTGTTCCTATTCCGTCTGTATTGTTCTTGCCTGGCGTTATCACAGTCACCGAGACAAATCGGCTCGTCCGGATGTAAACGGGAATATTTGAATCCACATCTATATCCACATAATTATTTTGAACAAAGAGGGTCTCAGTTTTATTTTCTTGCCCCATAATATACTGTAATCGATAGTCATTTTTCATGGACAGTATCCTAATTTTATATCCTCTTAAGAAAGGATAAAAGAAAGGTGTAACAAACACGTGTTCAGAATCGTAATGTATGTCAAGATGAGAGTTATCCAATGGAATCATGAAGTTCATTCCACTACACGCATTATCATGATGCAAACGAGCACATTTGTTTCCAGTTGCCACAAATATGGGGTCAATAGAAGATATCGTACTTCCGGTTAAATCTACACCATGTGATATTACTAATGATTCATATTTGTTCATAATAAGTTGAATACTGTCATTGTAGGCATATCCTTGATTACCAATATGAATTGATTCACCCTCTGTCAAGTTTAGCTGAATTTTCACTATATTGTTGTCCCCACTTGATACAATAGATAATGTACTGTTGTAAAGATGAGCATATTTCACAGACACGGGATTCGGTTGAATAGAAGGGATATATCTATATTTATAATGAAATCTAGAATGTATAGGTAAAACCAAAAACACTGTTGTGGTGAACTTATCATGTTTAGCAGCGTAAACATTAACAAAAACATCGCATTCAATATGGACTCCTTTTTTCTCCACTTGATTTTCAAGTGCCATGTAGGAAGATGGTAGAAAGAGTTGATTTTCACCTTGTTTAAGTTTCAAGATGTATCGTTTAGTCAGCAGTGGTAGTGCCACCGTACAGGATCCAGAACTAATAGACACTATATACAATACACAGTAGCTTCTTCCGTCATCAGCAAACAGAGGCGGGAAGACCATGTAAAACTCCATTCCCATCAACCTGACAGGATCTGAAAACAAATATTAAAGTCACTGAGTCCTGATTTAAATAATAATTTTATAAATCTACCGTCAGACATTAAAAATATTCGCCCTTCTCCCAAGGTCAGGTTCCTATTTTTGTAGATGTAATTTTTTGATTGGGACAAAATGCATGGATCCCAGTAGTTTAAATTCATAAATCTCTCCATATTTATTTACAGTTTTGTGGCGATGTGTAAATGCATGTAACTTTAACAAACAACTAAAGTTAAACCCAAGAGTACAGTATACCTCCTATGTTAGCTGGAAAATAAATTGGTCTTTAGAAAAAAAAATAATTTTACATGTAGAAACAGATTTAAAGAATAAAAAGGTCTGATTATAACATGTGTGAACAAACTTTATCCATTTAGTTCTTTAGGACATATCGAGATATTAATGCTTAAATATTTTTAAAAACTCTTCAAAACATTAAGTTTGAAATAATGATTTTAAAAACACACCTTCTAGATTATTTGCCTCAATCCTGCTGATTTGGTTCTCTAACACTTTTATTTTGTTTTCGTAAAGGCGTAACTTTTCAGCAATTTTTATGTCTCTCCTCTCTTCGCATCGGAAATCTTCTTCGCGGAACAGGGACTGGGGATGTGAAAATTCCAAGCTTATCATTATTACATAACATGATATAATAAAACGGGTACTCATAATGTTGACCAGCCTTCTTTGCGAGGTACTAGTATTCTCCGCACTGTAGAGAGATGTGCCCCTAAAGCATGTTGACGCGACGAAGCAGTAAAATTTTTCCGAGCATGAAAATCAGATATTTGCAGATAGTGATTCAAGCGTGAATTTATCAAGGGGTCGCCATAGTCCGTTAGAGTTAAAGGGAATTATTAATGGGTGGGATTAGATAGGCTAAACTGCTGGAATATTGTCGTAAATAAAAATAGTCCAAGGAAAAGTCTATAAACTTCATTTATATCCTTTGAAATGGTTACATAATATTAGCTGTATTATTTTCCCTTGTCGGTACCCCATTGTATTCAAAAAAATATTTCTTTATTTAGTCAGTAGATGCCAGGTTAAAACCGGGTGAAGTCATCACATGTTGGGAAGGTCATTTCTTTGAAAGAAAACATTTTTAAAGTCCTACCCAGTGAAACCAATTTAAACGGCGCAATTGTCTAATAATAACATTTTTGCCAGATGATACACTTTTCACTTTAAAGCCCACCTGAACCAGAGTGAACTTACAGATTATCTATAATTTTGACGTCCGTCCGTCCGTCTCTCTTTCTGTCTGTTATACCTTTCACATTTTCAATTCTTTTCCAGAACAACTTGGCAGACTCAATCAATCTTGATTCGAACCATTCTAAGATAAAGCAGAATCAATATATGAAAATGGACAACGTTCCTTTTTAAGGAGAAATAATGAATAAATTATTAATGGGATCATTTATTTATCTCCTTTCTTTAAAAAATTATCTTTTTAATTTTATTTATTTATTCATTTATTATCATTTTTGTAAAAGTAGCGTAACATTACTTATTAATTACAAATATTATTTTAAAATCTGTAAAATTCCAAACAGTTAAAACATATCTACATATTTGTACATTGGATTGGGTTAAGAAATGGAAGCCAGTATATTTGTTCTGATATTTACTTTTCCCGTTGATACGCTACGCCGTAGCAACGGTTTTAAAAGGGGGGGGGCACCTCCCGAAAAAAAATTGACAGGCAAAAATAAATAAATTAATCAATTAATTAATTTAAAAAGTTTTTTTTTAACTCTAAACTTTTCACATTTTCGACTTCTTCTCAAGAAGCCATTTTCATCCAAACTTAACACAAATCATCCTTGGATTAAGGGTATTCAAGTTTGTTCACATGAAGGGTCACGTCTTCTTTCACGGAGAGATACTAGTAATTAAGAATTAGTGTAAATTAAATGGCATCTTTTAAAAATCTTCTTCTCAACTACTTGGCCAGAAAAGATGAAACTTGTGTGAAAGCTTCATTACACAGTGAAGATTCAAGTTTGTTCAAATCATGCCCCCCCCCCCCCCCGGAGGTTGGGTGTGGCTACAACAGAGTATCATTTTTTTTTTTTACATAGGAATATCTAGGAAATATCTTTAAAAGAACAGCAAAGCCGTGATTGGTTATATTAATACAGAAGTATCCTCAGGTAGTGTAAATTCAGGTTTATTCAAATCGTAACCCCCGGAGGTAGGATGGAGCCAAAATGAGGGATCAAAGTTTTACATAGGAATATTTAGCAAAAAATCTTTAAAAATCTAATCCTCAAAAACTGCGAAGCCATGATTAGTCATGTTAATATAGAAGCATTCTCAAGTAGTGTAGATTCAAGTTTGTTCAAATCATGATCCCCAGGTGAAGGATGGGGTTCACAATAGGGCATCAAAGTTTTACAAGAAATATATCTAGGAAATATTTTTAAAAATCTTCTTCTAAAGAACATCAAAGCTATGATTAGTCATATTAATATAGAAGCTTTCTCAGGTAGTGTAGATTTGAACTTTATCTCACTATTAAGGAAGGAGAGTAATTCTCCCTTTTAAGTAATTTAAGTAAGTTTGTTCAAATTATGAACCCTAGGGATAGGATGGGGCCACAACAGGGAATCAAAGTTTTATATAGGAATATGTAGGATTTTTTAAAAATCTTTTTCTTAAGAACAGCAAAGCTATGATTAGTCAACACCCTCATATAGATTCAAATTTCAAATCATGACCCCCTGGGGTAGGGCGAGCCACAATAGAAGATCAAAGTTTTACATAGGATTATACAGGAAAAAATCTTTCAAAGTCTTCTCAAGAACAGGAAAGCAATTAATATGGATGCATCCTGGGGTAGTGTGGATTCAAGTTTGTCCAAATAATCACCCCCAGGGGGTAAGGTGGAACTACACATATTTTTATTTTTTTCTCTAGCAGTAGTCAAAGTGCTCATGTGAGCGATGTGGCCCATGGGCCTGTTGTTTCATAAATTTATTTATTTATTATTTTATTTTGTCTTCTTTATTTTTTTTTTAATTTTATTTTATTTTGGGGGGGGGGGTCTGGTTTCTGACTAATTGAAATATTCAAAACTTTATTTGATTAAATGTTGTTGTTGTTGTTGTTGTTGTTTTAATTTATTTATTTAGATGTTTGGAATTTAAAAGATATTTTTCTTTTCTTCATACAGTTGTACAACTTTAAATAGGAATGGTAGGCTGAGTTTAAAATCAAACAGTTTTAAAATCTGCGGCGTATGAAAACATCTCCTCTTCTGCTTTGCAAATCTATACTTATAAATTAATAATTTTTGCAAATAAACTCCGAAACGGATGCACCAGAGTGTTCACTTACTCCTCTAAGAATACACTAGATACAATATGATGTCCGTAAACTATATTTAGATTTTACTCGCATTGTAAGTATCGTACATTAAATTAAAAGTCTACTTTTATTTTCTATAAACAGCCATGAAATAGCAAAAACGTGAGTATGGTGGCGTATCCGGTTGGCGGATCTAAGTTTCAGGCAATTTTTTATGAAACTGACAACAATCAATCGCGTATTTATCTCATAAAACGTCATCACTGAATTATTCAATCAAAATTTGATTTAAATGACATAAAAGAAATAAGTTGTGATAACCGATTAAAAAGGAAAATGTGCAAATTATTTTTGTCATTCACCGATCTTATTATTGACGGAAGCTTCTAGAACATCATATAGCATCGAGCCCGATGTTAAAAAGAAAAACGAGACAATATTATAGCTGTAGGAACATAAGAAAAGCTAATGTGTGAATGGCCATTGAAATAATGGTAAATCATTGATAACACTATAAGTTGTGAATATATTTATATATCGAAAGACTATTACATATATGTAGTAGGTTTTCCTAATGAATTTATCGGTAAAATGTGTATATATTCCTCACTGCTTACATGAAAAGAGAAAATTAATGAATAAGATATTGTTCAAATACAATTAAAGCTGTAAAAATTTTGTGCTTTAATCAATACATTTCAGTTTTTGTTTTTTTTTTGAATACTCGGCCTATTCATAGGGCGTTAAAAGCTAATTTTTACACAGATACTTGCGTCTTGGTTTATATATATGTATAAACCTTATTGATATGTAAAAAAGGTAAAGTATATTTTTTACATATCAATAAGGTACATACATATTTATAAACCAAGACACGAGTACCTGTGAATTTTTAACCCCCCCCCCTCCCCCAAAAATCAATTGATCAGTAAAATGTGCATATTCGCTGCTTTTAATTTAACCTTGACGGAAATGAAATAAGAGCATACAATATATCCATAGCATAGTATAACAGGTTTCACAATAAACATCAAGTAATGAAATTGTGTGTCAAGTTTTTGCAAAAGGGGGTGGGGTGGGAGGGGGGGGTGGAGACGCACATGCGGGATTTTGAACAAAGTGTTTCTTCCTGTTATAACCCTATAGGCTGTCAGTAGAAACTACAATATATTTTCTGTCGGTAGTGGTATAAATTCAATTCCCCGCGCTTGCGCGGGATTTCATCTAGTGTATTACAAAATAATGAATTTAGTTAAAAGTTTTAAACAATCGAAGACTTACAGAATTTTCTGAATTAACTCGGTGAAATTAATAATAAGGGACTTGTGTTTTCCAAACTAGTTAGCTTTTGAAAGCTTCCATTCTATAAAAACAAAGAGTGAAAAATCAGTAAAAGTGTTGATTTTTTTCTCTCTCTCTCATTAAACGCTCAAAACTTTTTTCTGGTATCATTTTGTATCTATGAATGACTACTTCACCATACATAAAAATAAGAAAAAAAAATAAATATACGAAGCATATAAAGTGAAAAAAATACCCTATAACTTTAGAAAAATAAAAGAAATTCGGGGTGTATCATCTAAGAGACCCATTGTTGCATTATCTTATTATGTAAGAGGGGAAATCGTTTAATCTTTTGAAATAAAAGTAGTCATTACATAATTGGCAACGGTAAATATTGATTTTTAATGTCGAGGAAAAAGACAATGACCTTGATCCTAAAATAAAACGGCTAAATTTAACCTAATTGATACCATCACTTATAGTGATATTGTTTCCTTTGGTCCGTGAAAATTTCATTATTATTTAAACACAATAAATATGAGAGGAATCCATCCTTAAGAAAAATCTTGTTATAAGCTGTAGACACGTGCTCTGCTTTTCATATGAATTTTAAACTATGTCAAGGTCATCAAACGTTGAAAATTAACAGTCGTTAAAATGGCAGTTAAATTTTGCATGCGATATAAAACAAGCTTACCTCTCGCCATTCAAAAGAAAGAAAGGGAGAATTTCTCTCCTTCCTAAATAGTGAGGTAAAGTTCAAAACCAATACACGTTCTAAAAAAATAAAGTCATTAAGATCCAAAGATAAAGGATGGAAATGAATGTTTCAGGTCCGTAGGGGAGGGGGGGCAGTTTTATCGAAGGGGGCGCAACCTAACAGAAATTCTTGAGAAGCAAACAAGAAAAGAAATCAGACATTTTTGAGGGGAGAAAAGATCTCGTAATTGCGAGAAAAAGATTTCGATAAAATATCTCGTAATTATTAAGAAAAAGATGTAGTAATTACGAGAAAAATTACCTTGTAATTACGAGAGAAAAAATCTCATAACTACGAGAAAAGATCTCGTATGTATGCACATGAGAAAAGATTTTGTTAACGTTATTACGAGAAAAATTATGCATATAGAATTGAGTTGCACAAACTATGAATAGCCTTGGGGTTTGTTTTGGTAACGGAAAAATGTTATCAAATCATGTTATCGCATTACTTTTTTAATGATGTAGTCAATTTGCATGTTTTCATGAAAATTTATGCATAAACGCCGGAAACATTTAATATGCAAATTCGAGAACAAACCGATTGATTACATCTAGAAACGAAAATTCTGAAGGAGGTCAGGGGCATATGAAAGAATACAGTCCGTAGGAGGGGAGGCGAGGACCGAAATTCCTTAAAGGTATCTTGGACGCGGGCTCAGTGGGTCCAGCCCTCGAAGCCCACGGAAGTCCCTTAAGGAGGTTCGATCCTGAGCTTTTGAGCAGATTTTGGTCTGGACCTTTATTTCTAAAAGTCTGCATCATTTTTAAGTTCTAACATTAAATCTGGATTCTACAATGCAAATTAAATTATATCCAATGAAAAAACCGCGATTAAATTCCATTCAAATAGGATTAAGCCAGGAACTATATTTTGTGGCGGAAGGTTTTTAAGAAGAAAATGATCAATTTTTCCCTTTTGAAATATATACAGTACTGTTAAGTTTAGATTCCTATTTTTCCATGCTGGTTGCACACAGAGCTGTTTTTGCAGTGAAATGTTTTATGCTGGTTCTGAAATAACTATTAAATTATTTCTTGTGAATTCTTTTATTGTATTGTGACAAATATAGTAAATATATTCTGAAAGTCCAGGAAAAAATTGAGCCAATTTTAGCATAAAATTAACACTTTTTTAGTAATATCTAAAAAATTACATCATAGACCCCCCCCCCCCCCCACACACACACACACTTTTGTTTTTCTTTTCTGAATATATAAGATAACATTGATCAATCTGCTTAAATTCAGCAAAAGTTTAAGACTTTAAAATAATTTTCTTGCTTGTTAAATTTTTAATGCTAGAAAAATCACATTTTGTGAGTGCAGAAAGGTCAAATAATTGATTATGCGAAGCAATTTGAAACTTTTTCTTAGTCACAATTTTAATGTGTCTTTTTTTAAAATAGACTAATAGTTTACTTTGTCCCATGATTTATTTGGATAAAAACATTGGAGGGTAAACGTCAATGCAGTAGTAAGATCTTTATTGGCGTATACATTACATATATTGCCACGAAGTTATGATTTTTGATTAAGACACAAATTTCAGTGCAAAAAGGTCATATTAGATATACTGTAGTGCCAAAAGAAGCATATTGATCCCCATTTTTTGTTCTGATTTTTAATTAAGCTAAGTGTGTAGAAACTAAAAATATACTTGACAAAAAAAGTTTAAGACTTTAAATATCAGGATCCAACCTCGTTAATTAGTTCAATAAAAAGTATTCTAATTCCATTTACCATAGCAGTGCAAGTAATTTTGGTACAAACTAGAGTGAATTATGTGTTCATATTATGGTCTCTTTTATATATATAATATTTTTTTTAATCAGGTCATTAAACATTTCCTTGGTTTATTTTCAACAAAAAGTACATGCACATGGTTTTTCCATTGTATGCAAGAAAAAATGGTAAGTACAGACCAGGGAAGGGGTAATTGAAAAAAATAATTGTAATTGACTGTAATTAATTACATTTTTTGAAGTAATTGGGAGTAATTTGCAATTCAACATTTTTTCAATTACTTGTAATTGTAATTTAATAAATTACACTGAAAAAATACCATGTAATTTCAATTACTTTTTCAATTACATTCAATTACTTTATTTAATACACATTCATGATATATTGTCACCACTACCTCCCCATTTTACTGGTTTTTATTTTATTGTTAAACATATCCTCAATCCTTCAATTATACAAAATCTTAGGTTAATGCTTACAAAAAAAAAATAATTAAATGATTGGCTTGATAATAATAAACTAGTTTCTTCCTAATCATTATGTTAATTTTGAATTTTTTGATCTACAGACGCTGCGTGAATTTAGGAAATATAGGGTCTTCAGAATTCAAAAGAACTGACCTATAGGAGAGAACAATTTCCTGCAAAATGTTACATTTCAGAATCAAAGTTCATTACTTATTTCCTATCGTGCATATGTTTTTTTTTTTTCAAATTTGCATATTGAACCTAAAAATTTATTATTTGCAAGCATTAAAATTGGCTAAAACAGCATTTCCCCGTAATAGCACCTATTTTTGCATGAATTTTGGCCTAAGAGTCCTCCAGAGCAGGCCTGCATCATAGAATTATGATATTTTGAAAGAATGTGACCGAAGGTATAATTAAAAATAGTTTTTTTTTAATTTATACCAACAAGTTATATATTCAGAATAGATCAGATGGTTAGACCGCTGACTCTTGAGCCGCAGTCACTTTATGTAAATGTTTTACGAGCTTTTTCTTGCACTTTCGTAACGTATTTACGAGAAATATTTCCTCATAATGAAAAAAATAAATGGGGACGTGGATTCGTAGATTTCTTTTAAAAACGTCGGGGCACCGTTACGAGTAGACTTGCTGACGTTGTGAGGATGACGTAGAGTTGGATTTTTTTTCCGAAGGGTTTAGAGTTATCGATCTTTGCTTATGGGTGATGAAAGGAAATTCCGGAATTAACAGCGATATGGTTTCATCATTTATAATTTTCCTGGAGCTTGATTACATCCGGTGTAGTTCCGCAAATTATTATTATGGGGAAAGAGATTTCATCCAATTGCCTCTTTTACTATAATTTATAGATTTACAGATGAAAAAAGCTTTACAAGTTCTCTTGTAAAACAAAGGTGATATTTTTGTGCTCAGAATCGATGATACTTATATGTTTGTCTCGAATTTCCTCAGCGTTATTTATCATATTTTATCACAAGCTTATCTTTTAAAAAGATAGGTGAGCTAGCGCTGTAGCTATCATAAACCACAGAATTAGATATCTGAATTATTGGATTAATTTGCTGAATCGATTAAGGGGACGACCATTTGATTTTGAGGAGGGGGGTCGGGTGGGAGGTCTGGCAAAATCTTTCGATTCAGATTATTTATTTTCATGCCAGTCAAGGACAGATTATTTTTTTTTTCAAGATGATCAAGAACAGATTATTTATTTTTCTTCTTCACTGAAAAAGTTTGACAAAAACAAAAAAAAAAGTTCAAAGAGGGACCGGGGGGGGGGGGTTTAAGTAGCAATAGTCAATGACAGATTATTTATTTTCTTGCCGGTCGTGGAAAGACAGTTATTTATTTTCAACTTTTTTGAGGACAGATTATTTATTTCCAAAATCTGCCACCCCCCTTCAGAATCAAATGGTTGTCCCTCATTATTAATAGGAAGACACAGTGGTATACTGGAGGTAGTGCTGGGCGGGGGAGGGGGGGGTGACTTAATTAAGAATGGTGAACGTACCAGCTATTCAGTGTTTTATGCAGAATATTCATCAGACTATTTATAAAAACGGCTATTGTTGGATTAAATTCAGGATACCCAAAGTCAAAAAACCTCTACAATATTGAACTTCAAAGCTTTGTTTTGAGTGGGTTTTCACATTGGCAATGGAATGAATCATTAACTGTGTTTTAAGCATTCTGTTGTTTACTGTAATTTCAATTTTGAAGTGAAAAATAAGAGATAAGAAGAACCAACGAACACCTATAGTTTAAAAATATTCCAGTGTGGTACTGTTTTGTAGCAATCGCATCCTTTCGGGCCTTTCCGGCAAGCTCGGAAAACATATCCGAGGTTGTTATTCTGAGCTTGCCGGAAAGATCCAGGAAGATAGTTAAAAATAGTAGTTTTTTAAATTATAATTTTAGAAATTAGAACTGATCTGTACAGTTTTGGCATTTTCTGTTACCTTTTGTACATTTATTTAAGATTAGACAACAAAACGCGAAACTTCAGTTCATATGTATTTTCAGATTAAAAAACGAAATTGACATTATACAGTTTATCTACAGTAGTATTCCCAGAATCCCCTACCAAGAAGTTGAGCATACGTATTCCAGTAAAAAAGACTAATGTAGTTGCTAGCGCTCGAGAGCGCTAGCAATAAGATCAGGGACCCATATACTAAGTCCCTGATAAGATATAATAGCAAATTATAAGAGCGTTATTCTCAAATACTTGTTTGATTTAAGAAGTTAAACGATAAAAGGTTTTATTTTTTAATCTTATGATAATAATAGATTAATAAATAGGTCATGTGCCAGTGGGAGACCTATATTTAATCAGGTCTGGTACAATCACTAGATTTAGCTACGTAGCTTGAATTACCTACATTGCTTTATTTACCTACCTGAAGTAGCTTTATTCAGCTACTGAAACTTATTTCTTAAATTTGCATTTTTCTCAGGATGTGCAGAAGATCGCATTTTCAGTCATAGCAGAGATAATATTCAACTTTCAATTGAACTCATCTGAACACAATTCAAGAAAAAAATCGCTTTCAAAGATGTGTCTTTTCTGCACAATTGCAATCAAAGTTCTGAAGTTTTGGGGCTATATACAACATTTAATTTGTGACCATGCAAACAGTTACTTTTTGAATGAAATAACAAAGTAGACCAGCTCTGGTTAGCATGATAATTGATTGGTTATAATTCAGCACAATGTGAAGTAATCGTGTTGATGTGCCTCAATGCACACAAGGTGGTGTACAGTTACTCAAACAATGAAAATACATCTTTTACCTTAAAGTGTTCAAGCGCAGCAATGTTTAAGCTATCTCTGCTCTGGATTGCTTTTTTAAAAAAAATCCTAGTACCGGTATAAATATTAGTAGTCATTTACTTGCGAATTTCTGTCTTTTTAAAATTTAAAGCAAAATTCGGAAAAGTTGTATTGAAATAGCTAAAAAAAAATAATAATAAAAAAGCTACGGTATTTCTAGCCAAGTAGCTAAATGCACTGATTGTGCTGGAACTGTTAATCAGAAGTGGTAATGTAATATGAAATACTTTTTTTTTTACCAACTCTGCCAATTAATTTTAAGTAACTCTATTTTATCCAAATGATTTTCAAAAGACTTGGTAATAGCAGCTGCCAGCATTTATTTTTACCACACACCAACTGACAATCTCCCTTGCAGAGTTGTCGTTCATTCCTCTCTCAGACATCTCTGCACTGGGCTCTTGTCAAGATTTTTGACATAAAGTTTCAAGGATTATTTAAAATTTTACAGATAGTTCTAGATCTCTTTAGTAAAAATCTACTTTAAAGGACCAACATCAATGCAGGCGTGTAATTATTAATGAATTAAAAGAAGCGCACTATTTCTTGTGCTTATCACAGTGATATACGCAAGCCAACTACAGAGGTGTATACAAGAGCAGATGGTAGAGAATGACCAACTGAGTGTAATTAGTATTATGATTCCATATATTGTCTTTGACAGATGGCACTGAATATAGAGAAACTATTGGGGGATGCCCAGATTCTGGTAGCCAGACTTAGAGACCATGACTCTACAGCTGATATTCTTATAGCACATACACAGACACTGCACAAAAGACTAGAGGCCATGAAACAGGTTTGATATAGCCTGATGTCTCACTGTATCATATTACTTTTTCATTTTCTTTCAGTACTTTTTAATTAATGCAGGAACCTTTTATACTGTATTTGTTAAGTTAAAAAGAAAACTTCCACGAGTGACATATTAAAAACAATTTTGAATTTTCTTTTAAAATCTTGGAGAAAAAGGGCATACAATATTGGATTATTTCACATAAGGTGAAATTGAAGAGTTCCATTGTATCATGCTACATCATCAAAGCAATCTATGGAGCTCAAAAATTGGCATTTTTCATGACCATTTTTTTTTTCCTTTCTGCTCATCTTGATTCTGTGTCTTCTTGAAGTTTTCAAACTAATTTCATGGTTAAACATTTTATAACAATTTTGGAAGGCTTGTTATATGATGCTTTGTTAAATTTCTTATATTATGAGTAAATAAATAATAAATAAATATTTTTATGCTACCAAAATGTATTTTCCACGTTTGCACACAATCATGTAGGCACTGATATAATTTCTTATTTTCAACAAAAGATTTATGACAAAAATGACTAAAAAAAAAACCCCCAAAAATATACATCAGTGATCCATAATATATGAATTTGCATCATTTCACAATCATGTCAAAATGAAATTTTTTTGAAATACTTATCTATTTTTAGTTGGTTTAGCTTTCCATATATACATTTTCTTACCCATGAGGAAAATTGCATGGTCAAAGCAACAAATAAGCAGAGTGAGACCATTTTTGAAACTGATTTAGAAAGATTAAAATAGACTTGGAATTAACTGAATGATATATTTTTTCTAAAATGCATACATAGTGCATTTGAAGAAAATTACGAACTCTGCTTCAATTATTTGAATTTATTTGGCTGAAATATACTAATAACTTATATATTGATGCAAAACATATTGTAAGAGGCAAAAACGTGACTTTCTTTTTTGATTTGTAAATAATTTGTGCATGTGTTTAAATTGCAAAAAATAAAAAATACACAATACAGTAGATGGCCAATGCATTGAGAAGCAAGTATACATAATCACTAGAATAACAAATACTGTACGTAATTTTCATAAAAACTCACAGTCATGAATGACTCTCTTTAGGTATTATCAATTACTGCTAAAATAAAATCTACACACCATTTTTTAGCATTTTTAACTCATTAATTTTCAGTTTCAGTTGTTTCAGACTCTGGACCAGTAGGTTTTTTTTTTAATTGAAATAATTATATTTCAGAAAGTAGTCATTACTTAAGAGAAGCAGAAATTACTATTCAGTCATGTTACATAAACATACTATTAAATAATGTAATTATAACCAATCCATGATTGAGCTAATAAAAGTACCAGTGATTTATCTTGACTCTAAAGAAAATTTTAAAGAATATATTTATAACTCCTAACATTAATATTATATAATTTTTTCCTTCTAGTATCAAGAAGATATTAACGAGCTCAATGAGATAGCTAAGCATCGTCCCAGGTCTACCCTGGTGCTGGGTATTGCCCAGGAGAACCGACAAATACGAGAGTTACAGCAGGAGAACCGGGAACTTCGTCTCTCTCTGGAGGAGCACCAGCAAGCCCTGGCTCTGATCATGCAGAAGTACAGGGAACAAATGATGAAACTGATCCAAAGTAATAAACAGGAGAAAGCCATTACACAAAGAAAGGACCAGTCACAGGTACACATAGAGAGATCTCATATAGTTATTAGAAAAACAGTGAATTTCATTTCAGTGTGTATCTGTTTGTGTATTTCATAGCTTAACAATTTTCTTGACATAAGCATACAAATATTTCATTTATAGGTCGTTTGAAATTTTTATGCTTATATGGCTAAAATGTTTTGGTTTTTTTTCATAAAGAAGTTTTGTTTTTTTTTTCAGCATTTAGAAAAGTTGATTGATAAAATCAGTGAAATGGCAGCAGTGATGCAGAAAGCAGTTACTACTGATGATGAACACTCCGCAAAAGACAAAGAGAAGCTGGTTCAGCTTCAGTACGAAAACAATGGCCTCCGCGAAATCCTAGAGGTTTGTACTACAGCCAAACAGAAAATTCTGGAGAGTGTTTCCATAGATGTGGATAGTAAAGCCATCCAAACGGAGGACTTCTCTAAAATGTCTGACTCGGATGATAATATATCACTGGACTCAGTTAGTACTGTAGTTGAACAGGACGATATTGGTCAAGAAACATAGACCTGTATAAATAGAAGAGAGAGAAAGTGATATTAGCTGCTCAGAATTGAGCTCCATTGTCTTGTTCTGTTTATTTGTATTTAGAATTTGTGTGCATTAAGAACAATAACCCATTTCACTGCTATATATATTGTTCTGATAATTAGAATTTTTCACTTGAATATTATTTATTATATAGTTGGTTTTCTTTGAATTTCATATTTTTCATTGCAATAAACATGATAAACTGTTCCGACATATAATTTTATTAATGTGATCATTCATGCTGTTATTTCTTGTTCCACAATTTTTTCTTGTCTTTAGATTGACAAGAGCAAGTCTTTTGGTGCCAACTGTCAACTTGTGGAAAATTAGGTTTTTTTGGTACTCTTTTTAAGTAGTACTTTGAGACTGCCAACTTGTGGAAAATTAGGTTTTTTTGGTACTCTTTTAAATAGTGCTTTGAGATATGATTGAAACTAGGATTTTTGCTTTTGTGATAATGAGATACAGAACAAGTTAAAGTTTCAAGGAATTTTGTCCAATATTTACAGAATTATGGCTCTCTGACACTGACAATTCAGTTTTCCAGACTTTTTAGATGTAATGCTAGTTTTGCCCCATTTTAAATTCACCCAGTTGCAGCTCTGTTTAAGAAATTATACTATCTTTGAATTCACTTCGTTTTGAATTTGCCCACCTGTGAGAAGGGCGAAAGGGGCGAAAATTTCCCTGTATACAGTATATATGTCAAGCAAAGGGTTCTCAGATACAAAAAGGACACTATCTTCTTATGTCCAGAGCAGTTTGACCCTATGGCCTAAAATGAATAGTGGTCATCTACTTACTAGAGGATACCAGTGTACGAAGTTTGATATCTGTCAAGAAAAGGTTTCTCAAGATACTGATATAAAAACATTTGGTCTACCAAATGACCAACCAACAGGTGCAAACCAAAATGCTCCATTTTCAAAGGGAGCATAGATAAGGTTATACAAGCTGTGCTTCATACAAAGACTACTTATGACCTGAGGAGGTGAGTCATAAAAAACCTAAACCCAGAGTCATTGTACAAGTTCAATTTCAATTTAATTATAGAAATATTTAACTCCAGTCCTCTCCTGGCCACATCTTGTAATAAAGAAACAAAGTTCATACATGGCTTAGTCTTGTTTTATTCCCAAAGGGAGAATTATTAGGATAACGCTCTGCAGGTGCCTTATAGTGATCAACTATCCTTTGTCCAACTGTCTTTTGATTTCATTTGTCTGGAGCATATTTTCACTACCCATAGCCCAGTTGGACTCAAACTTATCCCAGAGTGCCCATGAGTAAAGGGTATGCAGTGACCTTGAACCAATTTTCTAGATCTAAGGTCGAGGTAAAAAAAAAAAAACCTCTGTAAAATTTTTGTCCAGAGCATATTTTCTCTTTTCTTGGCCCAGGTGGGTTCATATTTCACGCAAAGTGTGCCCTTGGTAGAGGAAGTGCAGTGAGCTTGCATCAGTTTTCTAGATGAAAGGTCAAGGTCACAAGACCACTCCTTGTAAAATCCTTGTCTCTCTCCCCTTGGCTCAGTTGGGTTCATACAGTGTCTGTGGGTAGAGGATGTGCAGTGTCCTTGAACCAATTTCTGGATGAAAGGTCAAGGTCAAAACCTCTCTGTGTAAAATCTTTGTGCAGAGCACATATTCTCTCACCTTGGACCAGTTGGGTTCATACTTTACCCATAGAAAGCCCAAGGGAAGAGGGTATGCAGTGACCTTGAACCAATTTTCTAAATTGATGGCCAAGGGCAAAAACCCTCTCTGTGTAAAATCCTTGTCCAGAGTTTTTTTTCTCTCTTCTTGGCCCAGTTGGACTCATACTTCACCTTTATAGTGCCTGTGATAAGAGCGTGTGCAGTGACCTTGAACCAATTTTCTGGATGAAAGATCAAGGTCACAAAACATTGGCAAAAAAATCCTTGTCTGGAGCATATTTGCTCTCCTTAGCCCTACCTGCCTCAAACTTCACCCATAGAGTGCCTGGGGTAGGTCGTGTGCAGTGTCCTTGAGCAAGTTTCTAGGTTAGTGGTCAAGGTTATGTCAAATTTCTGTAAAGTTAGTTTCTTGAACATTTTTCTCCTATTGGCTCATCTGGCTCAAACTTCTCCCAAAGAGTGCCCTCACCTGCATGGAGCAGTGGTTAGAGCATTTGCTCTTGAGTTGTGGAGTAAGGAGTTGATCCTTATGTCACGGGTTCCAATCCCACTGGGGGACATGGAGATCGGTCCTTGTGATGAGACAGTATAAACCGAGGTCCCCTGTCACAGTAGGTGCTGGCACGAAAAAGATCCCTCACTGCTCAATGGCCCCAAGTGCAAAGTATAGGTAAAAATTTGCAGCTCTCCACCGGCAAGTGGTGGCATCTACATATGAGTGAAAAATTCTTGAGAGGGACGTTAAAGAACAATAAACAAGCAAAACAAACGAAGAGTGCCCTTGGATAAAGGGTCTTTCATCCTTATGTCCTTTGCTAAAAGCGAGCCCCTTTGAGATGATCACCTTCTTAACAATGTCTAGTTATCCAGTAAAATCTGAAGGAGTTGATTCCTTTATGTAGGTAAAAAATCTAATTCTCTGACAGTGGATGAATTTTTGAGTCTTTCTTGAACAATAGCTTCCTGACTAGAGTGCAATTCATGTCAAATTTACTTAAATATTAAAGTAATAAGACAAATTTGAAAACATAATTAAATTCTTTGGTAAAAACTTTCCTTCTTCCTAATAACTTTTCATTTTTGTAAGATATATGGTGTTCATATTTAGAAGCTAGCTTCCTGACTAGATTATCCTTTAGATCTAGCAAACATTATAATCAGATCGATTCCCAAAACGTCAAAATGACTGACTTCCGTGGAAATTTCATCTTGTGTTTTTTCAGTCAGGATCATTTAATTTAATTTATAATAAAGGATTATTATGGCATGTCAAACGTTGCAATATTCGATCTTTTCCATTTGTATTGTATAACTTTCCATTTGTATTGTATAATTTTTATTTGTATTGTATAATTTTTCATTTGTATTGTATAATTTTTCATTTGTATTGTATAATTTTCAATTTGTATTGTATAATTTTTATTTGTATTCTATAATTTTCCATTTGGATTTTATAATTTTCCATTTGGATTGTATAATGTTTATTTGTATTCTATATTTTCCATTTGTGTTGTAAAAAAAATCATTTGTATTGTATTATTTTTCATTTGTATTCTGTATTTTCCATTTGCATTGTATAATTTCTTATTTGTATTGTATAATTTCTTATTTGTATGCGATAATTTTTCATTTGTATTGTATCCGAGGATTGTTTATTTATTTCGTTACGAAGGATGTCATTGGTCATAAAATTTAGTCTGTATAAAGGTCTCAGGTGCCCATCACAAACTTAGTCTGGTATCCTTCCCACAATTCCGATCGCGACTCTCTACAAACACAAACTCGGCTCCTCTATTTGCGGTGCATGCTAAGGGACGACCATTTGATTCTCGGAGGGTGTCGAATCCGATTATTTATTTTCATTCTCTCGCAGGAGAGAATATTTATTTCCAATATGACCAGAGACAAGGAGAAAAACAAAAAGAAGAAAATCCGCCCAAACCCGAAAACTCAGTTTTTTGGGGGTGGGGGTAGTTACCACCACTCAAGGTCAATTTATTTATTTTCTCAGTCAGTATTCCTAAGGACAGATTATTTATTTGCCATCTACCAGCGCTCCCTTTTTAGAATCCAATGACCGTCTAACATGCACGCAAATACATATGCCGCCGAAATATGGCTGAAATATTGCCAACTCGGCGTTAAACAATAATCAATCAATCAATCAAGCAAATACATATGAGCCCAGTTTGCTTTGAGCATCCGGAACATCTTCAACCCGATACAGGCTGAAACTTGACCAATGAAATCCTTCGTAACGAAACAAATAAACAGTCCGCGGATACAATACAAATGAAAAATTATCGCATACAAATAAGAAATTTTACAATACAAATAAGAAATTATACAATGCAAATGGAAAATTATACAATACAAATAAAAATTATACAATACAAATGAAAATTATACAATACAAATAGAAAATTATAGAATACAAATAAAAATTATACAATACAAATGAAAAATTATACAATACAAATAGAAAATTATACAATACAAATAACAATTATACAATGCAAATGGAAAATTATACAATGCAAATGCAAAAGATCGAATATTGCAACGTTTGACATGCCATAGATTTTCCTGTTTTTTTTTTTTTTTATTTCCCTGTCATTTGATTAGTTACTTGTATCATTCCAATGAGAGGAATTCAGCTGTTATGTAAAGTTTACACTGACTTTGTGTGTGTGCAGCTGTATTTTTGTACAAGTGGCACAGATCAACTTGTCATGATTAAGAGAAATGTCTCGATTTGTTTTAAGGAACCAACTGATTCATTAAGATTAAAATTTACAGTTTTTGATAAGTCTTTATGCAATTTTTTTTTTGCACCTTTTATTGTAATTTTCTTTACTTAATGTGTCATGGGTATAAATTTCTACACATCTCTTAGTTAATGCATAAATAAATTTTGCAAAAATTTTGGATTTGTGGCCTTAACTTGACATTGTGTCAAAAATCTTTCTGTGTTCTAGCTTAAATTAAGCTATAAATATGGACATGCGTGTATTGGCAAAAATTAAATTAGGTGCGAGAATTCACCATTGCACCGAGTATATGGTAATCCTGCACTTTTGATACCCATTTTGATTTTTTTGTATGATACTTACTCCCTGGAATACTCAGCAAGCTCTGATGCCTTTATCAATAATCAAACTTCATTATCTCAAACTCAATAGGACTGAGCAACAACTTCAAAATATCTGAGGTTTCAAGATATTAAAGTTACAATACTTAAGAAATAAGTGGTTGGACTTCCAACTCAATTCGACATATCCACTGCATGTAATAGAGATATCAATGTTCAAGATTCTGAAGTTCAACAGTATATCACTAGCCTTCAGTCAAATGATGTAACTTCCCATTTTTACATCCATTAATTATTTATCTTAGCAATAAACAAGACTTCAACACAATGCAACACAATATTTCACATTTATTGGGTAGATAACTTCTACCAGCTATTTAGCATCAAATGTAACAGTTTATTGCACACAAATTGTTCTATACAACAACTCCATCATTTGCTTGATATTTGCAGGGGTATGTAATTCTAACAATTCACCACTGACTTCAAATGTCAGTATCCTACTATGGCCATCCCTAAATGTGAACAGGAATATGTTTCTTATCAATGCTGTTATAGTGCAAATTTAAAACATACTAAACTCCAATAAGCACATTCAAAGCATAAAAACTATGTAATGAAAACAATGTGGACTAGAACAAAACATTTGATATACTGAGTAAAACAAGGGAAAAAAATGTCTATTTATTTTGATTAATAACAATGAAAGGTAGGAAAAAAGATGTCTAATCAAAGAGAGATGGCATGTTTTTTGAAGAAAAAGATTCATTTTAATCTCCATGAAGATAAAAATAAAGTGGATGAGCGCTTAACTGTTGGATTTCTTAATATCATTTTTTAATGTATACTAGTAAGCAATTCTTTCACCAAAACCTAATTCATGGCTATCTCTAAATAAAAAATTCTAAGACTCCCACTCATCTTTGTGTATGTCAAACCTTGACCTTACTGAAATAAATGTACTGTACACTGTCAATTTCACAATGATAATAACCATACTAATTGCTTCATATGTACATGGAATTCTGCACTGACAAAAGTAATTTATGAAACACTTAAACAGCTTGTCATTTGTGTTATGAGGAAATCCATTCAAGTTTTAGAAATGTTCTCACTGAAAATTCAGCCGTTTTTCATTTACAAAAGAAAATTTACTTGCAAATCAAACCATTAATTACATTTGGCACCTTCAACATTATATTTTGCTTGCATAAAAAATTCAATAGTTAAACAGAATGCAATTCTTTGGTAATCGAAGAAACCAATTCTTAGGATAATTATCTTTGAAAGTTAGGTTTTATATACCAATAACAGTATAGAAAGCACTATTGTTTTCCCAACCTCATTAGTATATTACAAAAACGTACTACACTTATTACATAGGTATCTTATATAACAATGTTAGCAGAACAGTGGATGTCAAACATTTACACTCCATGTGTTTTATTCAAAAAGAGAAAAAAATACAGCATATGTTGCAATTTCATCATTTCCTCTAAAGTGACTCAAATTGGTAACATTAGTATAGTTTTACATATTAAATGATTTTGGCATCAAACTCGACAAAAAATGTGTTTAACACTAGTAACATTTCTAACTTAAATGTGTGTTACTCTCAGTATCTGTGAATTGTGATTTCTACAGCATAAACAGGTTTCAATGTAGTTTTTTTTCTCAGTTTTTCTTTTGTTTTCTATCTTTCCCTTCTACTTCACTCTGGATCTAGCCTTGCATTCAATATCAAGTTTATTAGTTTAAAATATACAATATGCTATAACTTTGGTCAATATTGGACAATGACTGTTTTTATACATCAATTACGAAGTGCCAGCACAATAATTCTTGTGTATCAGAGAGTAATACAAATGTAAGATGTCCCATTTTCTACCTGTTAAACAATCTTGTCAAAAAAATGTTATCTGAAAAAAAAATCATTAGTTTAAGAAGTAATTTTTTTTTCAAGTTACCATATACCTAGAGTAACTGGTAATTTTAACAACTTTTAATGTTCCAATATACTTATTTTGTTATGGGAAGCCTTGTGGTTTCTTAAGGAATGTTATTGCATGGGTAAAACAAGTTGATAAAAAAAAAACCAAATACTAACTCTGAAAAATTACCCACTGAACCTTAAAATATATATACATGTATATTAATTGATATATATAAATATTTATATCCTCTTGATTATTTAGTATTAAATTTAAGTTATAACAATTACAAATATTTTTTTTTCTTTTCTGAATTCCCTCTCATTAATCATTCTTAATAAATATTTTGAAAGGCATTCTTTCTATAGAAATCTGCAATATTACATGCACCCTTTCTACTGAAGTTGTGAATACATCTGAACGCTTCTTTAGGCAAAACTGCTCATTTATGACCTTTCATGCAACCAGTTCTAAGAAAAGCACATTCACTGAAAATTACAATAGAATGTAGTTAAAGTAGAGATATTTTAGTAAAGTTTTTCCATTTGCACAATGCATATCGATATATTAGAGTATCTGTTGTAATAATTCCTTTTCAAAAAGTACTAACATTTGACTGGACACCCCCCCCCCCTCCCCCCCCCCCCCCCAACCAAGAGAAACTTTATATCTTAATCAGGAAAATATTTTTGTACACTGTTCTTCCTATAGTTGATATAGGTGTATCAGCATTCACAATTTCAAGCACTTTGTAGGATATGTATACCTTGAAATGGATATTTTCTGCTGGCCCAATGATCTGAACTTATAAGATACCAAATGAATGCTAAGTAAAGTAAATTTCTGTGTCTACTGACTAGTTGTTGAGTAATGTAACCTCAATTAAAAGGATTTATGTTCAAGCACTATCCACAGCTTGCAAATAAAACTTATTTTAATTAATTTCATGACCTTTGGATACCAGCAGAATACATCTTTTCCATTGAAACTTATCACAACAATGAACAAACATCGGAATAGGCATGTGCGGTACATTAACAACAAAAACCATTGTATATACCATTAAAAAAATACAAATAAATAAAAAAATTGCTGTGCAACATTCTTGCTTTTTGTCTCATAAACATTAACAATGAAGTCTGTCAGAAGCAGCAAATCTTACTGTTTCAAAGATACAATTTATGAAGGCCAGCTTGCAATATAATGTCAACTGTTTAACACTCATATACATCATCCTATGTACACTTTTTGTACAGCTATGTACAGAATCCTATCTACATCACAAACACAACTGCATGAGATCCTTGGAAAAAGACAGTGATGTAAGCTTAAAGTGTTAATCACCATTTAGTGCACCCAACACAATATTTACCATTTCTAGACATGTTTTGGCATCAAAATTGATTTTCAAAAATCAGAAAGATTTCTTTTTAATTATAAGATGTCATCAGTAAGAATTATGTTACAAACTTTCATGACTGAAAGGTAGTACATGTACTTGTCTATTTTAAAAAGATGTTGAGTATTTAAGAAACAAGGCAGCTTAGGATGCAGGTCAAAAACCTCACAAAACAAATGTGAGGGGAGAAACCTGGAGTACTATTCATCCCTTAACAAACTAAAAAAAAAATATCTGTTTCATTCATGAGGTATTAATAATGAAGTTAGATTCCTGCCTGCAAGTAAAAGCTCCAATTTAAGACTATTTGTGTTAACTGATGTAAGCCATTACTGCTAAAATGGACGGAAAGCACTTGTCATATTTATTGTCCTATCAGCTGGCCTCATCACCCAAACTAATCCCAGCCAAATTCTTAACACCTGAAAAGCCATTTTAGCTGTTTTTAGTTAAAAACATAACTAAAATAATTAAATAATGTACGAATTATCATTTATATTTAGTCTAAGGCCAAGCTACTTAAAAAAAATCACGAACCAAACTACTGCAGGATATTTACGATAAAAAAAAGGGTTGCTTTCAAGCATTCATATTCAAATGAAGAGTTTACTTCTATCCAGTTATAATTAACTGGACAAGCATTTCATCCCTGTATTAGCTTCCATAACACCCACCAGATTTTATGTCAAAATATCAAAAACAATAATTATAACATACAACGATCCCAAGTACACATCACAAATATTACGATGTATAGTAACTATGTATCACATTGTTTTATATGTGTGTCGGAGAGACTTCCATACTGACACAGTTATTGTCCTTGTCTGAAGATGGCGCTGTGTTTTCTTTGCCTTCATTTTGATTGGGATCTGGAAGAAGCTGAATTAGTCCCTTCAGTAAGTCTTGAACCACTTCGTAGTCTTTCTCCTCAAGAAGGTCAAATTTTATATTGAACACCATGAAATGAGTAAACAAGCTGTTTAGATGACCATGCATCTGTAGTGTTACAAAGTCACTGTAGTGTACATGGTATATATGGGCTAGAATGTGGAACAAATATTTGTGAATCTTCTTCACTGTGGACTCAAATGTGCTTGGAAAAGTTTGACCTACAAGAAAAGATTACATTTTAGTACACATGTAATGGGTTACCTCCCTTGGACTAATAATATATGATATAAAAGTCTCACTTTCATTTTAAGTCATTAATTCATAAAATTACATCACATGGTATTTATATCGTATTCCATCAGTAATGACTATTTATAATCCCCATGTGATTCCTAAAAACTACGCCCTTTTGATAACAAAAAATACAATGACATTTATTGTGTTCACGTGGAATGTGACACAGTCTCAATTTGAACTCTATCTTATCAAATATTTACTCTTCACAGAAGTAACAAAGTATAAGGATAAAGATAATAAAGTTTACAAGTTCACATAAAGTAAAATTAGTACCTGTCTTAATCTACATAGGTAATGTCACATCATCCCATATTAAATTCTGAAATATTTCCAGTAAATTAAATTTCACATAAACTTTGCCTTTTGACAAGACTTACCAAACTTTGTAGGAAAGACAGTTTCATCGGAGATTTCTCTCTGAATGTTTGTGGTGACAATGTCTACATACTGAGGAGCACTGTACTTGTATTTCTTCCCTTTGTCATCATACCACAAAAATTGCCTGGAAATGAAGATCATCATTTATCAAACATACTACAATAGTATTGAAGTGGAGTGGCTACAGGCATAAACCTCTTGGTTTATAGGTATTTTCAATCATGGTGATTTTTCTTGATTAAGTAATATACTCATAATTATCAAGAATCAAAAATAAGAATTTTTTTTCTCAAAAACAAAACACACAAAAACAAAAAAAAAAAACAAAAAACAAAAAAAAAAAATAAAAACAAAAAAAATTGGACTCCTCAACTCTAACAGTATAATGCTATTTTCCCCTAATTATAATTTCTTTTAAAACACTGACTAATTTTTTCAATTACAGTGCTAACCTATTTTGAAGGGGGGAGGCTGTAATTTGTTTTTATTTTATTTTTTTATTATGCATTACTAGAATTTTGTTGAAAGTTGGTAGTACATGTATTTATGTTATATAGACTTAAAAGCAGTCAGATGCCTTAAATAGACCAAAAGTAAATTTCATATTTAAACCTGTTCCGTAAATAAATCCAAACATATACATCCCATGAAAATGACCCTGATCATTAATTGTCACTAAAATCATTTTTTACTATACCTGAAGTCATGTATATTTATTAATTCATACTCTAAAAATGAGACTCTTTTACTGTAAACATGTCATGAATATACCCATGTTAAACTAGTTTTCTGAACACAGAGAAAATGTAACATATATAATAAACAAGAGAATCAATATGATAATGAAACTTTAGCAGCAAACAGCTGTTGAATGTGTGCTCAATAATTAGAAATCAATGCAACTTATTATGTCAACCCTAACACATTGCTCATACTTGAAAAGCTGAATAAAGAAATTATTTTCCATAAAAATGGTAAAATTTAATATGTAATTTAAAACTAAATACTGTGAAATGCTTTGATTTTTTGCAGCCAAAACTATATCTAAAGATTTTAACCTCCAATTATTGTAGATGTTTTCCCACTCTCATGTGTTGTTATAAAAGTAAGCTAGTAAACAATCAGGTGCGGATGTCAGTGAGGATGAGTTCATTGACTGAACAGAGCTTACTGATTTGGACTTCCAGAGAAGTACAATTACAAAATTCAACATATTTAGAGTGCACATGGACAGAAGAGAAGCAGTGGACTATATCTTAGTCTTTCATTAACATTCAATGCATAACATACATAAAAATGCTATGGATAACGAAGTTTGAATTTTCTAGTAACTAGAAATAAGAAAACTGAGACAAATTTATGGTCTGTGTCTGCATGTCTATATATTTGTTGTGTTTTTTTTTCTTTATATCACCTGCAAACTTTATCAACAATCTTTACTATCTATTACATGTACTTTTAAGTTCTCATTTACATAATTATATATTGATACTTGACATTTGACACATCAAGGATGCTTTTCCAGGAAAGAAATAGTCTGATATAAATCACTGTTTTAATAAAACCTCTTTAATATGGCACAGAATATTTCCTTGTGTATACATACTTTGCACGAATCAAAGTTACTACTGCAAAATCCCCACCCTTTAAGTAAAGTTAATAACAAAGGCTTTATGAAATAAATCATCTGATATAACTGTTATCATGACTTTGAATGTCCTATGCATACAAAGCTACACTACCATCATTACCAAACTGTGTAAAGTGTTTAGATTATTGTGTATTGCACAAAAAAATCAAACAACCAATTCATTAATTTGCAAGTATAATTACGATATATCTATGTTTCAATAAGGGCACTTAAAATGAAATGGTAAAATATGTATGTTTTCCACAAACAAGGAGAGCAAAGTTAAGTGTTCTATTATGGAAATGACCTTAACCAATCAATAGAAGTGTATTCCTGACAACAGTCAATATAAATTTAGGAAATTGACATTAGGGAATTCCATGTTGGAGGTGGATCACCTCCAACAAATCAGAATTAGGATTCTTATCTATAAATTTTTATTTCCTGGTTTAAAAAGAAAATCAGGATTTGGGAATAAGATGAAAGATACAGATGGTACAGCACAATGGCTGGTATTCCTCAGATAAATTTCCTTGATAAGAATTCTATCTTAACTTCCCTCTGAAATTTTATTTCTTTTATAAATATATTTCTATTTACAGTCACCAAAATCAAAACCCCCAATTACTTTTCTTATTCATTCCTGCTTTATTCCACCAATACACTACACTACACATAACATACCTACCCACACTATTACCCTATACAAATGATTGACAATACCCCCACCCCCACCCCACCCCACCCCCAAGTCAGTTAGATTTACCTCCCCTCCAAATATACATGTATATATACTTTTAGATTCTCTTCCAGTAAGAGTTGCTTTTCCTGTTTCCATATACTTACACATTCCCTGGGCCTGTCATTGTACTACAGGTCTCGGAGTTACAGTACTCGGACACCACACCATACACAAGGTTCACATGATTAAAAAATGAGATTGCTGCAAAATAAAAATGCATGAATTTGTTAACTTTAGTATTGCAATTGATAACATAAATCAGAAGCAGTGTTATATTAAACCTGTAAAGCATGCAAGGTCAGCTAAATGTGTTGGTACAATATGCCTTAAACTTTATTGTTTTTTATGCTTTGATACAGTTAGCCTAACCTACACAATTGTTTTATACTTTGGTACAGCCTGTGTTTAATAACTATACAATGTTGTTTTTAATACTTAGGCTAGCATATTGTCTCAAATATATTGCTAGATTCTTTCTTTCTCCCTCTCTCAGAACACCAACACTTGTGTTCAATATTCACTTTGTAAAAAAGGCTGTCCATGCATATTATTCAAGGATACCATACACAATTTTACACTACAATTTAGGCAGTTATAGAATGTATGTGTTGCATAATTTCAAGTAATTTACACATAATAATACTTGAATGTTAATTTTTGGATGGACGTCCTGACAAGGAAAAAAATGAGCACGGAGGTATAAGTAAACTTCTCTTTCTATGTTAACATCGAATCATCGTACATATAAACAATTAAGCTAATTTTAACCAGTGTACAGTGTTTAAACATGCAGTGTTTAGCCAAAGTGGATTCATTGAATTTACTATTCAAATGAAAGGCAAAAAATATATAATTTCATTTCTTTGGTATCTACCTCTCAACTATAGTGGTAATGTTAAAGGCATGCATTTAATAGACCTGGTCTTAACATAATGCAATTTTTTTTTGTTTCAAAATTACTGCGCTATTGAATTCTTTAATCATTTTTGGTACATACAGTAAAACAAGATCATAGCGAGCATGCTTATAATAAATAGAACATTTTCAGTGAAGAGATTTTTATTCCCGGTGGTTTTAAAATAATATATTGTGAACTTAACGGATATCATGAATTATGTTTATAAAACAAAATCATCTGTCCCTGGCACTTTGCTTTAAGCATGTTTTACTGCACATATGCCTACAAGTTATACCCACTACATACCATGTGTTGCTAGCCACTCGTTTTTATCTAGACTGTGCGGAAGTGATACCAGTCGGAAGAAGTCGGCATCAGTCACTCGTTCCTTTATACAAGTGTCCTCTAGGTATCGTTTACTTTCCTCCGCAGCAGGGGGTGTTGGGGAATCCTTATCCTTCCGTCGGCCTTTCCTGAAGAATACACAATACCGTCATATTTCATTCATTTTGATTAAATCCAATTAGTAACTTGGTAACTTGAGACATAAAATCTAAATGTAAAATAATGTTTGTAATCTGGTTACATAAAAAATGCATCTCTGAAAAGCAATTTGACCCTAATACTTATTTATCCCTGAAGATCATTTTCATCTGTTAATGTAATGTATGTGTATCAATGAAAATAGTATGCAAAATCATGCACCATGATTTTGCAAAATCAATATTATAAAACATAGGGCTCAAATATATATAAAAACTGCATGGCTAGTACAGCTATTATAATCATGAACTTTAGCTTCTTGTCAGTCAATTAAAAAAAAACAAGTATATGAAATTTACTCTCTAACCATCTGACAGCCCAGTTTTAATCCTTTATTTGCTTATTGTGACCAACCATTGATAAATAAAAAGATTTATATCCCAGAGTTTAGATAATCACTTTTTCATGGGGTGATGCCTTAGTGGGCTGTGCTAGTCCAAAAGAGAAGCTTTTGTAGTGATCTAGGTCAGTTACATTTATATCACTGGTTTCTTGTCAGTTCACCTGACTTTAAGAAATGTGGTACGATTCCAATTAAAATCTGACATTCAAATTTAACATATAAATAGAATCCCTGCAGGCACGAAAAAATTATATTTTGCATGGAGTTATGGCTCAATAGCTTATAAAAATTGTACTGCATCCTGATCTTGTCTGAAATATCAAACCTCAACAAAATCTATTTTACTTTACAAATTGGCATATCTTATATAAAGTAATCAGAATCACAAATACAAAAAAAAAAAAAAAATAACAAAAAACAAAATCAACTTCATGTGTGTGTCATTACAATAAGCATTAAGACATATCTTAAATTTAGAAACAATAACAGGACACATTTATTGGAGACATATAGTTTAATTGAGTTAAACACAATACACCATTCCCCATCACACATATGTGAAGTGGTTAGAATCTTTTATGCTGATTTAATGGAGTTTGTCCTTTTATGAATAGCTAGACAATTAACGAATGATTGTTATCTATACTTTGTAGGTATGCAGGTGCGAACTCTTACACAAAACATTATTACAGAGAGAACATGATCTCCCTGTGGGTAGACACGTGGAGATGGGGACTCAGATGTTTCACCGTTACAGAACATATACACCTCTAACTTATAGTCCCCCAGAAATAGATCAATAAATGTTATTAATTATTCTAAGTACATCACATTGTTTTAAACTTCAAATATTCACTAAAGTACCAAATATTGTCCTGTATTTTAAACAATACACATTCTATTTTTTAAAATCAATAACCAAAAAGAAATCCATATTCCGAGCGTCATATAGATCTACTGTTATGCAGAATATTATGCACAGGAACTTGCAAGAGTTCTTGAAAGTTGAATACAATTAAGGAACTTAGCTCAGAACTTTGAATGACCTTTGTCTTGCAGGATATTTCACATCCGTATATTTAGAGTTATACCAGAATAATGCAGTAGGTGAATGCTGAATAACATCCTACCTGTGTCGCTTTTCAAACATTTTTCCTGCAAAAGCAGTGTGCACTAGTTATGAATATTAACCCCTTGCATACTGTCACAACAGTCAGTAAATCATGTGTCATACTACATCGTAAACAGGATTGTGAAATAGATATGTGTTAAAAATTACCCAATAAAACACAATGTAATATCAATTTGGAAGGGAGGAGGAGGGATATAATAGGGAAAAAGACTTTTAAACTACGTATCATTTATTATATCACTCTCTTCATTCAGCCTTCTGCTGGAAACTTAATACACAAAAAAATAGCCTAACTTCAACATGATCCATTAAGATTACAACAATCCAGGTACATCTGACTTTATCTTACCTGTGTTTTAATCCCATCCCACCTCTCCTTTCAATAGGAATCTGATGTAACACAGAATACAGCAGATCTAAACACATTACAATTTACCAATAACCTCAGATCAACGATGTACAACAACGTAGAATATGCAAATTGAATGCAATATCCCTCCTTCCCTGAGATTCTAGCTCTTGTATATCCCGGCCTCCAGGAAGATTATCCGACAAAATGACGGCTAATCATTGGTATAACAGCTGTCCTTTTGTCATCAATATTGAACCAGAAAACGAGTTACTTTGACATTCCATTGTATAGAATGAATTCCTGCAGCATCTGTAGTCAACTGTTTAATGCAGGACACAGTGTGATACAGACAGAAGAGGTTTAACCGAGGAGGAAATGTTGTAATGCAGACAAAATTTACCACAATGTTATATGTAATAATAACTACTACACATTAAATATGTTTAAAAACATCTAAAATTGAGAACTAGTAAATAATATAACTAAGCATAAATTCACTCCAAGTCAGCGGTTTTACTTATTTAAAAGATAAATTTGAAAAACCTTTTTTTATAAAAAGCACCTTAATTTAAAGGTAAGATTGATTGATTGATTATGTTGTTTAATGTCCCATTCAAGAATGTTTCACTCATGTGAAGACCTCACCTTCTTTAGGTGAAGTGACACAAATTTTGACCAACACCTGCTAATATGGGAACTATGTTTTTAAGGTCCTATCTGAAAGACCCATCATTTTCACTTCTAATGCCAAACCTGGGCAAAGAAACTTTACTTCTACCTCTGTTAATTAAATGTCTTAGGTTTGAAGCAGCCCTGGGAGTGAGAATAGAACCCAGACTCCTGATCACAAAGTGGTCCCCCAACCCACTACGCTACCATGACCACGGTTTCAAGGAAAAACATTTTAATACATGATATATACACTTTCAAACAAGACATAATTATGAATGCCCAACACATTAGTTAAAATTAATAAATGACCATCACTCATGACTTAATTCTTTGTATCATACGAGCGCTGACCATAACTTCAGATAAAGCTTTGAGGCGACATCTGACCAGACTTCAACTTAATAATAAGCCTTGATTCAAACAACAACTGAAACTGTGAGTGTGCCTTAACTTTTCATCAGGGATATGTTGATTGTATGTAGTACTACTCCTGTGCCATTAAAAGTGATATAAAATATAGTTAATTTTTCATCTAGAGAGCATGAAAATAATCCCAACTTCTTGATAAAAAGATTTATTCATCATAACAAATTGATGTTCAACTAACCCCCAGGTGAATGACCGAGAGTTTGACAAAGAAAAAGAAAGTGGTGAAAACCAATAATTGAAAAGATTTTATCTCATCATTGAAGCGAAAAAAGGACACTGCCACATCTATCATCATTTAATATGATCAAAACTGAAAAATGTGTCCTCTGTTATAATATAGAATTACATCATAATATAAAATTGTATTGGTGATTTAAGACTGCAGATAATTAACACTATTCTGGCTTGAAATTACATCTTCTCTTTGTTTCCACTTCTAGCTGTCATACTTGTAAATTTGATAACCGGTTCAATGTCACTGAATCTTATCAGTCTAGAGATATATACAGATGGGAGTTTATTCATCCTAGGTTAGATAATTATTATCTCATCTAGACAATGGTCGACATTTCATGTACAGGTCCAACTCTATAAATGGATGAAAGACTGGTACACCTTTAATATTATGTTTTGCATGAGCTATTGTTATAATTGATATGGCTATATGCCACATATCTGACTAATGATGCAATAGATACATGGGGCATATCTATACTTTATACAATTTCTGCTGACTCCAGCTTAAATCTGCACTCAATTGACCATGCCACAAATCTGTACTGCGGAGACCGCCACTCCATTACTGCCTCGGGGAAGAAAACTGTCCCAGTGTTGGCCTTTGGACTGTATTGCAACAGTCCAAATTTTTCTGACAACACTATTATATGATTAATTAAGCAGTACAAGGCATCATCTGAGCCTCAACATATCAATTAAATAGTCAGGTATCTATTTTGACTGATCAATAGGCAATACATGTATACACCTTATGACCCTGTCTTTTAAATCTATTGTCCTTTACTTAGTTAGTTTGTCTTATGTCAAGCTGTTCCAGGGGCTTGATGTAAGTGCTCTAATGTGTTTTGTACACTGTCTGAATAACTCTTTTCCGATTTTTTCCCTATGATAAGCTGGGTGTACTGCAAATTTAACTGTATGGAAAAAAATTCCCTTTACCTTCCTGTCTAACACAAAATACGATGTAACTTGTCGTCGTGACTAAGCTTACAAGAAAAGCATGTGTCATTCCAATCAGATTAAATAAAGAAAAAAAAACAGCTTATTTTAATATACAGTGATATACCTTTCTAGACTAATATATGAACTACTGCACCAAAATATGAATCATTCATGTCTTTAAATTCCAAGTGGTCTTACAACAAATGACTGTGCATGTCACTTCAACACATCATCAGAATTAGTTTTTTTATATATATATTTTATCAAGCAATAGTAACCTTTGTTTTAAAAATTCAATAAGACTTGATCTGTCTCTTTCAACTTTCACATCATGACATACCAGCAAACCAGTAATCTAACATTCAAAACTTTATAAATTAACTTACATTCTTCATTTAAATTAAGTCACCTTTATGCATTACATGTATGTATGTCAGTCTCAAACCCTGTGAATGCATAGTATTTTTGATGTTCTTTCAGAGCCTCTGAGGTATGTCAAGAGTAGTTTACAGGTTGTTAGTCAAATATTCCATACAATTAGTAAAATTTTGTATACAAAATATATGACTGCACCATAACAAGTTTAAAGGTTCTACAAAATTCTACCTAAAGCATCACCTAAGTCCCACCTAGATTCTTTCTGGACATCTCCCCAGTTTCAGAATTGGCTGTTTTAAAATAGAGGTGACCCCTTCCTGATTTTGTTAACAGATGAATCACAACTGTTAAACATTCTTGTTACAAAACCTTTACAAGTTTCAAGGAAACATTACTCATTGTTGAAAGTACATAATTATAATCACACTGGTTCAATAGGGATGTTTTTTCCTTCAAAATCTTAGTCTCTTTTATCTCTTTATTGTAACAGTCCACGTAATCAATTTTTGAAATCCATTCTTTCATAGCTGAACATGGAAAGGATCCAAATTCATGCTGACTAACACACAATCATTTAAACTGTCTGCAATCATTCTAAAAATAAAATTCTAAATATAAAATTTTGTATTGATCCATGGCAGAAACTACGTAATCAGTACTTTTACTCTCCAATGAGCTACATGTTGTCTTATAATCTGTTTAGCTTCTGTACTCAAGATTAGTACATCAGTATTTTAGTATCTCAAACACTATCAAATTCAAGGAATATATGTCAATGTAAGTTGGTAGTGTACCTTGACACTGAGACCATGCCTCTTTATCAGGAATTCCTAAATATCATATAATGAATTTATTCTCACTATGGTGTACTTATTGAAGTTTTACTGCATCTCTTTATTTTTTCTATCGGGTAATTATTAAAAAACCTTTAAAACTTTGTTTAAAAAACAGAATCCAAGTTTTCCAAATCTTTGCTTCATTTAAGGAGTTAGCTTATAACAGCTTACCCCCCCCCCCCCCCCAAAAAAAAATAAAAATGAAATGAATACTAAATCTGTAAATGTCCTTGCAATAATGCAAACAAGGAAAACCAAGAAAGGAAACTCAGTGTTGAACCCTATTTCCTAGCCAATGTGTATGTAATATGGACTGCAGAACTTCCTTTACTATAAGAGCCTTGATATGTGATTTTACTAACAATAGTTACTGAACCCCTCCAGTCTGATCATATCTTCTCTCGCCAATCCAACTGACCTTCAGATTACATATTGACGTACAAAACTTGTGACCTTACTGACTTCCTAAAAGGACCAATAGATAATGGTCACAAATATATTAACTAATTCAACAGCAAGTCCTTGTACTTTAAGGACACACCTATGTTTATCAGCACCCATCGTTGAACTGGCTGTTGTGGAAACTTTTCCAGTAAAAACAACTTGTGATGATCATACCTATCTTCTGTAGAGATAACAGTACAGTCAGTGCATATAGGTACAGAATTATAAATGATGAATGGTTAACAGATTCCTTAATGATGAAACCAAAAGGATTTTATTATAAAGATGAACATCTCCAGAGACTTTACTATACACTAGTTTTATCAAGCTGTAACTGTTCATAGGTCATAATCTATCATTACGTTCTTCTTCTTTTTATTTTTACAAAATTTTATTATAAAACAAATCTATTGCTTCATAACAAAGATGAAAACTTTAATTTCCCGTCTTTTCCAGATATAGACATCAGGCCACATTTTAGTCACCTCATATGAACAGGAAATAATAAAACCACAGAAGTCATGAATTATTGAGAATATAAACTAATCACTGATGCATTATATAAGACTGCATGTTTAACAACATGTAAGATAAATACATACAACCAGATTATATAATAATTATTTCTGTTACAATTTATTATTGTGAGTATAAACAAGTACATCTTCCAATTCTTAAAGATAAAAACAAACAAACAAGATTACTTGAGTAAAATGTTGAATAATATTCAGTTTAAAGAAACTTTTTATGAAATATTCACTCTTCCATCGATCAATGTAAATTCATTAGAAGATGCCTACAACTTTATTAATTTACAATTTAAATATATGTAACAGCTAGATGCGGACAAAGATGCCCAAGCAATGTCACATCAGCAAGAAGTAAAATATGGAGTTTCAAGTTTATATTATCACAATTATAAGCTGTAATTTAAGGAGTTTTTAAAGAAATATATGGATATATATGTAAATATAGTTATAAACACCAACTCACCAGAAATTGACAACAAACAACACTCCTGATGTCATCTTCAGAGTTGATTTAACCTTCAACATTCAGATGGTATTCAAGTTTGTAATTAAGGTCACCGAATTAATTAGCAATCAAGTAACAAGAAAATCTTAAATCATCTAGTTTCACACATATTTCATGCCAAGTGTACCCAGAAGACAATTCATCACTGTGGCACGGTTCTACAAGTCTATAATAATCCCCTTCTGCTTTTTCTTCAAATTCTCACAAAAAATCAAACTGATACACAAAAAGTTGCAACTGATAATTTAATTTGCTTGTCTTTGAAACATCGAATCATCATCACTTTTCAATTGCAACACGTGATACCAATAACATATGGTTTGTATTAACTGTCATACTTTTAATGACACCACCATAGCACAATCATTACAACAGCTGATTGTTACATATATCACCTGACCCGCTATTTGTACTTATGTAGGTAAACAGGTAAGGCAAGACAATCAAAGCCTTACTTCTCAGGATGACTTAGACCCCTGATAGTGTCACACTAAGATTTATAAATATAAATATGACTAAATCCTCCTTGTTTAGGAAACACGTGCTTTTACTACTTGCTGTATACTGTGTGGTGATTGATATGTAAATTACCCTAAAGATCTATGTTTGCTAATTTCTGATTGGTTGGTTTTTGTGGGCTGGTATTTGTTATGATTTTTCACTCGTGGCCAAGGACCTCTTTTTAAAATTCTACTTTAACTTTTGAAATTTTATATGTCCTGTTTACAAATTAGGGTCTACGTTAGGCTAAACCTTTAGTGATAATGATCATCTTACCTGCAGATAATAATTTTTTGATATTTCTTACCTCTAGTAAATACTCTCACTCATAAAGAAACCAAAAAAAAAAGAAGAAATGAAAAATCTTCACACAGCAAAAAGGAACACAATTAATGCTTCACATGATAAATTGATAATGGGGCAGAACAATTTATTTGTGTCCCCTCTCTCAGCCTGTAAATAGACTATAATGGTGACAAATTTTATGTTATTTCTGGCAGGCAGGGGGACAGGTGTCGAGAGACTGAAAACATCCTTATTTATAGAAACAGTAATTCAGCATTACCTGGAAGATTATATAAAGTTGCACATTTTCTTTAACTGCGTATCTTTGCTATGCTCATTTCCTGCCTATTGTAAGACAACTGGTCTCCCAGCAAGCACAAACAGAAAAGCACACATATCAATAACAAAAAGGTCAAAATATGCATTATTTTTCTGATTTCCATCAAACATTAAAAACATATTCTTAATGTAAAACTAGCAAATGGAATGTTGACTCACAGATTCTAATAAAGTTTATAAACCTTATATTCTTGGTGCAGTACTGGAATGTTCATGAATATTAAATAACAGTTAAAATTGTTGAATATGTTTTTTTTAAGGACATACGCAACGTAGTTTGAACTTTACTGTCTTTTCCCCTGGAGTTGAAGAGTTCAATTATTAAAGGAACTGTGTGTTACATTTTAATGTCTATATATACTATTGTACGCTTCTTCTAAAACAAGTTTGGATAAACAAAACATGTAGAATATATGTTTAGTAATTTTTGTGTATTTTTCTTTAAATTATAAGAGAATTTTCATCAACTGATATCTTTTCAAAACCCCTGGTAATGCATGCTGATTTTTTGTCTACGAACATTTGATGGCACTATAGTCTTAAATTAAGAATATCTTGAAAAATTATCAGTAGGTAAGGTACGTTGCGTATGTCCTTAATACCTGAGAAGTCATGCTCTAATTGCCAATGCAATGTTTTTCAATAGAATTTTTTCATTTTTTATCATAGCAATTTATAGTCTTATTATCATGGTATCACTGCACATGAACGGGAAAAAACAGAATTCTTGGAAGGACCTGAATGACTCTGCATCTTGTGGTATCAGTTTATCTGACACATTTACTCTCCTGTTCTAGAGCTTCTACCCGTATTTTTAACATTTTTAAATCATGAAATGAAGGTAAACTTTCTTATAGGCACCACACCATGTTAAGTGGCCATATCCTGCTCTCAGCAAGGGTTGATAAGATAAAAACAATTAGACAAACAGACATGGAGCAAAAAATCCTGTTTCTCCAGATACCACCAATTTGCTAACTAACAAGAGGTGAAAGCAAAATAAACTTCAAGCTGCCTTCTTTGTGGATCTTTCTTAGTCTCATTTTGAGCTAATTACATGAACATTTTAAACTGAATATAAAATTCTGACCTGAAAACCAGTCTTACCAGAACTTAAAGGTGCCAATTAAGAGAAGAATACCTGCATATAAAGGTTTCTGAATTTTGCTCATTACAAAATATAGAAAAACAAAATTTCCAGTGGTTTAATATTCAATTTATAAAACATATTAAAATACTTGTCCTAGGAATATTAAAAGAATAAAATGCAGGACCAGATAAGGATCCCTATCCCATACTTCACAGATTTAATTTTTCAACTTCCCCTTACTCTTTTAACAACATACCAAGATGACAGTTACCTTGAACTAGAGTGCAACCTTGAAAACTGCAGCAGAACATTCATCCTGATACTCCAATACAACGCACAAATACACTGAACCCAGCTTTAAAAAAAGAACACTTGTAAATCATTGACAGATCTAATTAGGGCTTCTGTGTGTAATATGTATTAATTATGGAGTGAAGACCAGATGTGAGCTAGCCTGCCAATTCAGCTATCTTCTACATTCCTGCTAGTACATGTAAAGTATACTGCATCAAAGAAACTGATTTCTAAGTTTTCATCCAAAATAATGTCACCCAATCTCTAAAAACTCTCACAAAGCTAAAATTTATTTAATATGGAACTCTTTGAAGACTTCAAATTGACCAGATCAAGAGAACACACAAGATGTTCACTTGCAATGGTCATGGGTTGATCCAAGCATGAGGTAGTTATTACTGTACCTACAGAATATGTGAAAAGTACATAAACTCATGTACATTTCATTATCACATGGTTTATTTCCCAATCACATGGAGGTTGGTTGCACTACAGCTAAGTATTTCAGTGGCTGTCTGATAATCTCCCTCTGAATCTGATGATCAAGTAGTAAGCTAAATCAATATACAGGTGACGGTATGATACTACTGGAGACTGTAGTGCTACAGAGCTAGCCTGAAACCCTAATCAATTGTTTTATAACCATAATTTCTCTTGTATAGTTGTATCTTTAATTAACCATGTTCTGACCTTAATTATACACTTACAACCGATTATTCTTGGAATCACCTAATGAAAACTATATTACATTTAAACTAAGTTAATAAAACGTGCACAAATTCAAAGCATATTTGTATTTCACACAAATTTATGTTCATGGCTGACACTGTTAGCTTGAATAAATTTGGGTTATCTCTTAACTTCCTTAATAAAATTTCCATTCAAAGATCAACCACAGTGGTACATAAAATGACCTGATTTTGATATTGTTGCCAACTTTTCCTAACCAACACTGAATTTACAATGGAGATAGCTAGAAAAATTATAATTATGAAATGCAAATCAAATTTAACAGTTTCCAAATTTCTCCATGTGATTATAAATCAAGTACATGCATGTCCATGTAATTTGTGTATACTGTCAATTAATAACATGATTACATGTACTGATTAATCAATTAAATCAATTTTCTAATCAAAATGTCTCCCAATTATAGATAATTGATTATAATTTTGATAATCCATTGTTCAAAATATTAATTACCTATGATTTCTTTATTCATTCTTCTTTGGATGTAACTAAATCCTCAGTAATAACACTGTTAATTTAATAAATGAATTAAATGATAGAAAATACATCAAAAGTGCATTTTAGAAATCACTCCAGTATTTTTTACCAATTTTAAGTCTTCATTCAAAAATGAACAAATTTATTTTAATACTTGAAACCAATCAATTATTAATTAATTATAGTGCATCCGATTATTGATTATGAAAAAAATTCCAATTGCCCATCACTACTGTCAATAGTAAACACATAAAGATAAATTGATATTTTTTCACTATATAATAACAAATTACTTATTGCATATAAAGCCAAAATACTCCTGGCAATTTCCTTAAACATGTTTCAGTATATGCTGAATACTCAAATTTTGAGATTGTAGCTCTCCAAAGATAGAAGCACGAGTAGTATCCGTATCAGCATGGAAGTGGGACAGGTTGTCCAAGTACACAAATGTGCATAAATAAATTAATGATGACTAGGGCTTTTAAAATTCATTTAATGTTATGGATACTCATATATTATAAGGTCAAGCAATGATGAGTTTGATGATTTTTATGAGCTTTCCTATACACGTTTTACAAAATCTACTTTTTAATTGAAAACAAAAGAACCATCATAGTTTTTATCAGATTACTTTGTCAAAAAGACCCTCCTTGATTGTACAAACCTTTTCTAAAAAGTTAGTGGACTCTTTGAAATTATTATAAAGGTAAGAGTCAGTGTGTTATTCAGAATGCTGATGTGCAATGATCAGATGCGTATGCATTTATTACTATTAATTTCTTTTGTTCCGATTTTTTTGGTAGAAAAAAAAATGATGTCTTTACTTAAATTCAGTAATTTTCAATTTGATGAGTTCATCCCAACAAACAGTTAAGATAGACAGGCATTATCCATGAAGTAATGTATCCAGTATAAATGACTGTCCCACCTGCCAGTTTTCAGGGAAACAAAACTCCCCTCTGTAATGAAAGAGTGCACTAAGGGAGAAAATTTCGAAACTTGGGTATTCAATACATTTATATAGTAAATTAGCGTCTATGCTCTAACACGATTGCACTGAACCTGCCTAGAACCAAGGCTATATGAATTGAATTTTTTTTAAGAGCACTAGCTATCTTAATTACTACAAAGAATTAATAATGATTGCTTGCATAACATCAATCTGTACCTGAAATTGAATGAAATATTTGATTCAATACATCAATTAGGAAGTTGATGGAAAAAATGAAGTTCTGACCAAATTAACAAAATGGAGAAATTCTTTACATGAATATATCAATATCTTGATACCTTATGTCTCAAATCACTTCAATATTTATGGTTTATAAACCTTTCATAAGAATGAGAGTGAAATTGCCGCAACAAATCTAATTTAAAGAGCAGATATTTACACAAAGGGCGGCTAGGCTAGGATCAATAACGTAAACTCCATCAATTGAATTCTGTTGTGTTTGACCACAAACAAGCCTACCTTCAAAGACAAACTATTTTAACCTATTCTGGACCTTGGCCAGTTTGCACAATTGCTATTTGGCTGATAAATTGATATAATCTACATGAACTAGATAGTCTTTATTTCTTATAAGACAACTGATAT